TCGGCCCTTTGCTTCATGTCATCCCCCTCTCTCTCCAGCTGTCCTATAATGAAGGCATGTTTCACTCACTGCTCTGTCTCACCTATTGCCCCGCCCACAAAGCTACCTGATTGGCTGGACTTTAAATGAGTAATAGCCAATCAACAATGAAGCCTGGGTGTTGAGAGCAGCCTGGAGCAGGACAGTCTCTGGTTGAGCTTCTAAACAAAGTTGTGTTGTAGTATGCAACATTCAGAATTAAACATTCTGACAGAAGGATTTTTATTTTTATTGTAAATGAACATCAGTTATCTGTCTCATGAACTACTGGTCATCAGTATCGGCCCTGAAATGTCCTGTTGGTCCACCCCTCGCAAATATTCAACGATCAACGATGGCCCTTTCTGAATAGCCACAGTTCAGTATGCAGTACGTACTATTCAGTAGGGAGTTTCAGTATACTGAACATTTCAGTATGGATACTAACTTCCGGGTTTTATGCAATATGGATCGGATGCGTGCTTTCAGGAAATGAATTGTATTTTACCCACAATGCTGTGCGAAATTAAACGTAAATCATCACGTCACGTCCGCCTCCAAATCAAAACAAACGAGCGTGGATTAATCAATTTTTAATCTCGAGTTAAAGTCCCGTCTGAAATCACTACTTTAAATTAACAACAGAAAATATAACAAATGTCTCCATTATTATAAAACCTTTCCCCCTCTATTTAAATAATGATTTCACTCTTTAAATGCGTCTTTATTGGGTTATTTTATATTCTGTATATTACTGTCTTTCATTTGTACTTTCCTTTATGTACTGTATGTTATTTAGTTATTTAATCTGTCTTTTACTTGATTTACATTGTGTTATTGTTTTGTTTACCTGACTGTATATGTGCATTACTCTTCTTGAATAAAGCTAAACAAAAAAACCCCCAAAAAACGGGTTTGATGCAGCCGGTTCGGGAAACGTAAATGACGTCACTTCCATACTGAATGAATCAGATGAAGTCGGGACAAATATCTGCCTACTGTGTGTGCATACTGAATAGTAGGTACTAAACAGTATACAGCACAGATAGCAGGTACTGTCTACTGAAAGATTGAGTAGGTACTTGGCAATTCAGATACAGCCATTCACTTCCTACAAAAGACAAGACGAGCGAAGTGATCAGAAGTGCCACTTGGCCTACAGGGGGCGCCAAAGTGACACAAACTGAAAGTTCCTCACAGGGGCTTTAAAATGAAAACGGAAAAAAAAAAAAAAAAAAGATCTGAGAGAGAAACAAAAAGAAGACTTTTTACCAATCAGTTTGTTTTCTTTGACGAAGCAGCGATACTCTCCTCCTGGAATCAACTCGCTCCACTTTCTCAGGACCAACTGAGGACAGAAGACACCAGCAGGAGACATGTGAAAATGAACACACACAGTCAGCATTAGACATCCTCTCATTCATTTAAACTGTGTTTAAGTGGATACATGATAGCCCTGGACGGCACCCTTTGGAGAAAGGTTTGATTAAAATGAAATACCTCGTAATTTATAACTGGGTCTGGAGAGTCTTGGTCACTGCATTGAACGAATCTGCAGAAAGAAAGAAACGAGAGTGAGGTCAAATACAACAGTGTGTGTGCTGTTCACATTTATTGTCTCCATATCTTTCCACTACGATCAGGACTGAGGCACAGCTAACGGGCTTGGCTGATATGTTGCTCTCGGAAAGTTTGAGAGCGAAGTTTTAAAAGTGTCCAACGAACAAGCACACATCACACACACACAAACAGCTTCCCCGAGGCTGTGCACGGCAGTAAATCACCCCCTGCACTAAATGTTTCTCATCCAGAGTGGGGAAAAAAACTTGAGCTATAAATCTTATAACACAGCTTTCTTTTCTTTTTTTCTCCAGCAGCAACTTGTGTTTTACTGCAGATTGAAATCAGTCTGTGTACACCACAGCTAGTTAGTGTTTCTTTATATTTCAAATTGGTCGTCTACTAAATGTGAAATATGAGTGGATGGTATTGGATAGCGAGCTTACGGCTGTGTGAGGTCGTGGGTGATGAAGTCGGAACTTTTAAAGAGCAGGAATATATCGCTGAGGCTGTCACACTGCAGGGAACTGTTCAGAGCGATCCAGTTAGCGTCCTGAAACACACACACACACAAAAACAGTCTTATAGCCAAGAAGAGATTGTCTTGAGATACACAGAAAATAAGAAGTCAATCTTCAGGTTCAGGTTTATACACTTTTTTTTTTTTTTTTTCTTTGACTAGCTGAGTGGAGAATTTTACCCTTGGAGCGCTCCAGTTGAGTTTAGGAAAGACACGCCCACCCAAGGCGTTTATGGCCTCCAGCACTTTAGAGGTGAATTCTGGGAACTCAGGAGCCTGGCGGACAGAAGCGAACATCGTCAACATGACAAATCATAATAAGTGGGATGAAGGGGCGACGAGCTTTGCCGGCAAAAATGGAAATGAGCATCAAGTTGGTTTTCTAGTGTGCCGTGTTTTGTCGTATTGCAGGAAATACATTCTGCTGGCAAATCATACTTAGACATTCCTGTTCAGCAGGATAATCATCACACATGACTTTCACTCTTATGGTCTTTGAAACATGAAAACAAAGCGGGCCATAAATGCCATAAATGAGAAACACCACACCTAGCTACATGACTGCAGGATCATCACCATTAAGACCCCCATTTGTCCATGCTGGCCCCCGACGATCTTTAACGCCTCCAACAACTTGTGTAGGATCATGAAGCCACATGCTTGAAACCTTTTTGACATATAAAGGCTTCAAAATCTACGTAAGAAGTGATGCATTTTATGTCATAGAGAAAACCAAAAGAATATCTTCTGCTTGTGTTAACCACAGACTCTAACCAGAACCTATTCAAAACATTAAGCAGTGATTAACCATAGACAGTTTGAGATTTAAAGGGCTCATTCCTGCAACACTTCATTTTGCAATTACATTATATGCAGGCAACAGGCATGGGGGTAATAATGGGATTCACTTTTGTGTCACTGCAGAGAGGAGTAATGCACCATGAAAGTGAAGAGAAACACTTGATGTGTATGGAAACAGAGTTATATTTGATGTTCCATCTGACAGTGAATGTGCTTACGGTGACAGTGGTGGTTGTGTCGTCATCTGACCACTAGAGGGGAGCAGAGAGCGAAAAAACACAAAGTTACATTAAACACTGTTGCCCTGACTTCACTGTTAAAAATGTTGTGTTGACGCCCTGGACTGTGCGTCCACCAGGCAAACAGTTATGAGTTAGGAAAACTAGACAGATAACAGGTCCAGATGATGACAAATATTGATGTGAATTCATAAATGATTCAATGTACATCCACTCTTAATAGTACCAGATGACGTGTGTGTTGTGGTAGGAAAACTTCAACGTAACATTGAAAGAATCATTTCAAGTTGAGTTTCAGCGTCCTTTTGCTCAGATTTAAAGCTGGTTTGTTGTTTTTTTGAGGAGACACTGTACTCGTTTCTACTCGCACAAATGGCATCATTTCAAGATAGTATACGTTTGCACAAAGAAAAACCTTGAATCTGTAACTTCTGGCTACAGTCTTGGCTTTCGTACAAATATAGCGATCAGACATTTAAACGTTGCAGTGTTTTTGTAAACATGTTGTCAAAATCAATTCAGAAAGGAGGTAAATAAACAACAAACAAAACTCTGTTCCTGTTTCCATACCTGAATGTCCTCCTCTGCATTCAAGTCTGTGTTGTTGATGTCTGTCTGCTGTGTGTTATGGTCGCTGAAAAAACAACAACAAACAACAAAATATTAACAGGATCCAGTAAAACAGATTCAAACTGAGGGGTAAAGACAGAGGAAACTGTGTGTTTTGAATGAGTTCAGGGATGTATATGATAAATAATCATGTGATGCTGTGTGTTGATTTACACTCTTTGATCATTACAACAAAGTAAACATGTTTGTTTGTGTCTCTTACCTCCCAGAGACTACCAGTGTCCCATCGTCCAGTAAATAATCTATTACATTCTGAGGCAGTGGCAGAATCACACTGGAAAACAACAACAACAACAATAAATGTTGATCATAAACATCATGAAGGCAGAGGTTATAACTCTACAAGAAACAAAAAGACAAACAGAGGAATGAAAATAAGCATGCCAGCTATTTGTTCCGTCTGTGCGCTGACGTAGATTATGACTACATTGTCTCTTTAAAGGCAACACGTCCGGAAACGAGGCCTTGATATGTTTAAGCAAATGTCAGCTGGTTACCTTTTAATTGAATGTTTTTTGAATATCGGATACCAAACCGAAAACTGACAGTTGACAACTTGCTCCTTCTTCATGCTGCAATATCCTGGAACAGAAATGTGTCCGTCGATAAATACCTTCCGAAACCCCCTCCTGAGGTTTTTTTCGAAAAACTTCGGAGCCGAATTATCTCCCAACACCTCGATATTTTAATGTGATACTTCTCTCTGCTTTACACTGGTATGTATAATATTTTATGTGATTATAAACGTATCCGTAAACTGCTTCATGCGAGAATTATGTATAAATATGTAAGGCGGGGGACCCTTTTTGAGATGCACATGTGGGCGTGGTCGTGAAACCCGCTGTTTTGCGCCCTAAGATCGTTTATTAAGAAAAGAGTGTTCACTCAATACCTAAAACAGCTGACAGACGTAACTTCTTCATTCATTGATAATCTTAATTAACTAAACTATGGATTTAAAGGTCTCACAGTTAATCTTACTGACATAACCAACAAGTAAAAGTATTAACTTTCTTGCCGGCGTCTTGGTCATTTGCCAGTTTGTTTTACTTTTTAAGTAACCATATTTTCTTATTAAATGCAGATAGTTCAAACAAATAATTGTCCCAATAAAGTCTCGTGTGTTGTTATATCAGCAGTTTTCTTCAAATATTTGGTTACTCGGAAAAAAAATCTTAAGTAATACATGGAGTATTTTACTTAACTAAAAAATAAGACGTTATGTGGGTGACGTTTTCAGTACCCGGACGTAGTGGCAAAGTGACATCTCTGTGCGAATATACCATCTAGGCTTCCACTTTACATTCGGTTGGGATTTCACGTGAGTTAAATTTAGTTGTTTTACATTTTTAATAATGGTTTTAAAGTTTTATAATGTGTGAGCTCCGAGCCCCCAGAGCCACTGTTACACGCAAATCAGCTAGCTGTCGTAAAAAAAAGAAAGAAAGAAGCGAATATAAAAGCTAATTGTGTTTAACAGGGAGACTGGTGGAACTTGTTAGCGGCGTCTTTCTGTTGTAGCTAAATGAGCAACTCATGATCACACACGTCTAGTGGTGTTTGTACAAGTCTGCATGTTGTTTCAATAATAACTGAATTCTTATTTCAGTTCGTTGTGCATTGTTTTCCATTGTTATGAACAGCGTTTTGACTCAACTTTCCCCTACTTTCAGTTGTCCACATTTTAAACATGAGCAACCCAGAGGAGCCCAAAGTGACCGCTGCTCCACACATAGTGAAAGAGGAGGTATGTTTATTCTTCACTGTTTTATATGAGAATCTGAAATAAAAGTCCATGACAACTAACTTAAACGCGGAATTTGAATTGCACTTACTTAACTTCAATATACACAGACGGTGAACACTATACATTACCAAAACTGGTCTTTTTGAGGCCAGAAATGACTGTTTCTGTGGTTAAATATGTCCAATAACAGTCTCTTAGGTAACACTTAGCACTTCATTGAGATACCTCTTGGGGCTAAGTTTTTTTTTAAGCTAATACATTGGTGCAGTGCTTATGAAATCAGTCTTGTTTCTTATACATAATTATGCAAATTCAGACACTGCTGAATCATGCTACTCATCATATTTCATGAGGTTTAACTGCACATTTATCAGCCATTAAATGTCAAGTCTCTGTAGATACTTTGTGTAAAACAGTGTTGCCAAAATCTTCTGAAAACAGGAAAATGTTCTGAGTGATGTCTTGCAGTGGACACATCAGTTTGCAATTTGATTTATTGATCGTAAAATGTGAAATGAAACGTCTCGTTATAACAAACAACTTGTTCAAATCTGTTTTACCAGATGTAAACTAATAACCTCACACAGCATAAATATCAGGACAATCACAGCAGTCATTTCTGTAGTTTTATTGAGCTCATTGTAAATGTTATCTTTATTGCTCAATAACTGTTTTATTAAAATGACAACGCACACACGACTGGGAAGAACTCTGACCTCATCCATAAAGGATATTCAGCTGTTCTCATTACAGATCACCATGACATCACTCTGGTATTTATAGAATGACATGAAGTTTAATTAATAACTTTCTCTATATAGTACCTTTTAAAAAACAGGGGTTACGTTGTACTTTGACATACAGGCAAAAGAACTCAAACGACAACAAAAACATGGGAAACATAAAGAAATCAAACAACAGAAGAAGAATCCGACATGTGATCGCAGAAGAACACATGAACAAGAGCAACGCAAGACCCTACGACGCTAATCAAGACGAAGTGACCAAAGATGTGCGTACTTAAAAACACTGCAGAAAGTAGAGGGAGGAAAAGAAAAAACAACGTTAAAGAAGTATGAAGCAGGAAGAACTAAAAGTAATAAGGAAAAATGATTAAACAAGATTAAAGCTATAAAACGAGGAAAGGAAAATAAAGAGATACAAGCAATGAGAAGTGATAGAATGAAAAAGTAATAAAAGAAAATAGTAACAGTGAAAATTAAAGCGGCACCGATCCACTTTTGTTCAGTTCCGATCCGATTCTGAATATTTACAGACATATCTTTTCAATCATAATGAATTGTTTTGTTGTTTTGAGCTGGTTTCACATACAAACATTTAGCAGAAGCAACAACTGTCGGGTTTTTAAAATTAAATCTTTTCAACTGAATTGTAAGAATTGTTACTTTTGATCATGAAGAAGGAGCTGCTCCATCTCGTCTGACCGTCGTCATGGAGACGATTTGTGGGCACTTCTTACGGTTCAGTCTGAGCCTCTCCAAAGAGAGACTGTGCGAGCTGAGAATGTTTAAAGTGTCCAATGATGGTTCTTGATCGGTGACGTGTATCTGCTCCATCAGTCTGATATCCAAGACGTACATTACGTCGATATGGAAACAGATATTAGATCTGATCGGTCTCATGTATTAAAGCTGATAGACCTGCATCTTGTCGTGTTAACATCCTGAAAGTTAGAAATTTCACATCAGCACAAATTTAAAAAAAATGCCTTTGGATATTTATTATCTTTAATTTAAATTATTTAATTTGTTGGATTTTCAGGAAAAAGCCTCGTCAGTATAAAACGTGAATGTTTTTCCGTAGATAGTTCAAACTGTCACTCGTTGCCGTTGAGTGGTGGTCGTGGTCGTGACAGAGCTGTGTGTCACGTCTTAGCACCGTGTTTTATTCCGTCTGTGTTGCAGCCCATCGCAGCAGGAAAATGGCTGCAGCTGGAGAAGACCACATACATGGACCCTTCCGGAAACGTCAGGTACGCTTCACTCACGGTCTGACGACAATTCAGGTTTCTGTAAGACTCCTGCTGAAAGTTTAACTCCCGGTTTTCCTCCATTAGGACGTGGGAGACGGTGAAGAGGACAACGAGACGAGCCAACACAGAAGCAGACGGTGAGTTATTCTGGTCCCCCCCCCCCTCAGATATATTTAAACATGCTTTTACTAACAGGTTGGCGCGTTAACGCTCTTCTTCTGCAGGTGTTGGAATTATCGCCCTGCTGAAGCGGACGCTCCACAAAGACTGCGTGGTGATGGTGAAGCAGTTTCGTCCTCCGATGGGATGCTACACTCTGGAGTTTCCTGCAGGTCGGACGCTTCCTGCTGCAGCTTTACACCTCAAAAACGTTCCCCATTTTTCTCCTGAAATTCACTGAAACAGTCTTTTTTTTAAAAAATAAAAGTCCTTTAACGTGATATCCAGCTCCTTCTGTAAACCTCTGAATAATGTTCTGTGTTTGCTGTTCTCAGGCTTGATCGATGAGGGCGAGAGTGCCGAGGTTGCTGCACTGAGGGAGCTAAAAGAAGAAACTGGCTACAAAGGAGAAGTTGTGGGAGTCACTCCAGGTATCGTGACACTAAGACCCTCTGTGTACACTCGATTGAATTAGCTCCATCTCTCTGCAGAGTCTGATCTCCTGCATGTGTTGGAGCGGAGCGTCTGTGGTCAGCAGCGTTGCCAAGGGAAAAATAAATGGGAACACACATTTTTTTTTTTGTCTGGGGAAAGCACTTTGGAAGTAGTAACGCTGGATTTTTTAAAAAACATTTCAGTGACCTGTCTTGACCCCGGTTTGTCTAACTGCACCACCCAGATGGTCATGGTGAACATCAACGGAGATGAAGGGGAGAATATCAACCCGACACAGCAGCTCGGTGAGAAAACCCTCATATCTGTACTTTTACATTTATTTTCTCTTCTGCTGCTTTTTTTTTTTCCAGTCCTGTGTTTTCTAAAAATCACTACACGACCTGTGTCCTGTATTTAAAGATGTTTCATGCTTGTCTGTAATTAAAAAAAAAACAACAACATGTTGGATAATCTTGTTCCCTCTTGTTTGTCCACAGGTGATGGAGGTGAGTTTCATGTTTTATTAAATCAGAAATAATCTCTTTTTTTTCTCCTCACAATGCAAGTCTTCAAACACGCCTTTCTCCTCTCACTCCAGAGTTCGTCGAAGTCGTTCTTTTAGCTCTCGATGAGTTCCAGCAGAAAATCGACCGTGAGGCTTCAACTTGTTCTGCACAGTTTGATAAGAATGTTTGTCCAAATCGAACACAGACGACATAAACACTCCCTCTGTTTCATCCTGCAGACCTCCTCGAGAAAGAAAAAATCGTGGTGGATGCCAAAGTATACATCTTTGCCATGGGGATGGTTCAGGCCTTCTTTAAGCCGAGGGAGCTCCCGGTCCTGAAGCAGTGATGCACAACATTCAGGATGTGACTGTTACAGAGGGCTCCTACGTAAGACTGGGGGGGGGGGAAAAAACTGGTGTTAAAAAGGAGAAAGTAATTCCGCACTGTAATAACGTGTTTTAAAAAAAAGTTGTTGCACTGTGGTTTTGAGTGCTACCTAACCTCTAATTTTAGTGTTTGTTACACCATCCGTAGGGTGTCCCAAAAAAAAAAAACTGTGAACACATAAATCTGAATCAAATGATGGAATGATGGTGAAAAAAAACCCGCTGAATTTAGGAGCTAAACGAATGAAGGAGCTCGGTTTACACTAGATGTGGAACTGCTTATTGTCTGAAACATAGGACAGTTTCTGGGTGTCAGTTCAAGGCACACTTAACGCAGGATGTGCGCCAGGCTTTAGCTGGATTCATTTACCCTAAGTCAGTGGTTCTCAACTGGTCCAGCCTCAGGACTCACCAAATACTCCTTCATGAGAAAATGGCAACCCTAATGTCTTTTTTTTTTTTTTTTTTCAATCAATCAGATTTGTTTAAAGAAAAATTGTGCAGTACCTCAGACAGTACAAAACATGATAGAGCAAAGAAACTGAATGAAACAAACTTGTGCTTTATAGACTTTTTCACCGCATTTTTCTTCCAAGCACAAATTCACGACCCACTGAAAACGGCTCCGCGACCCACCAGTTGAGAACCACTGCCCTAAGTGACAAAAAACTCATTTCCAGGTTTTTTTTTATTGAGATTACAAGGTGTGCTAGTGAATTGCAATATGCTGTCATTTTTATCTAGTGATTGTGACACATTCCTTTACCATTTCCTGTTCTAACTTTTTTTTACTGCTCTTTGGGAGAGAGACTAGAATTCCTGTTTTGAGCCTTCTGGGATTCACCTTAGAGTTCTGACTTTGCATAGGAAAGAAACTCAGCCAAAAAAAAAACCCTAATTTGGACCATGTTTAAAATCTGTGTGTTTAAAGTTGGATTTCTGAGAACATGTCAGCACTTTCTTGATCTGTAAGAAGCATTTTACTGGATTTGAAAGTAAAAGTTCCGATGTTACCTGAAGCCTTTTCTATAACAGAGAGGTCCATCAACCCACAGGAAGCCAGAAACAGCTGAATTGTTTTTTTTAATCTAAAGGCTTCTCATGTCCAAATGAATTAGACCACTAACTTTAGAGGACATGGAAGAGCCATTAGTCACAAATAACTGGTACACAGTGATAACAGTTCCAGTACTAGGCTGATATACTAACAGTGTTAACAGTTTGAGGAAGTTGATTTTTGCCGAATAACTCGACTGTAATGTACGACAGAGGTACTGTTTTGGTAACCCGTTAATAGAAAATATTTCATGCTGTGCCACAAACCGTGTGATGGTGCAATAACTTGACATGGATGTTGTAGATTTAGAAATAACGGACCAATAAAGTTAATACAACCTTTGCTTTTACCTGTTCTGTCTTGTTTGGGTGTGTCCGCAACTGATTCAGTCATACAAATGGAAGTTATTTTAATAAGTCCATGTTCAGGAGGTTAATAACATCTCACGATGGAGGAGTGTACGGTGTAATCTCATGCATGTGTTTGAATTGTTCCTTAAAAGAAAGCTTTGTTAGTGGCAGTGTAGTAAAGATCACTATTTGTTCACTATTTTGTTTCCTTTCCCTTCTTCTCTTTTCCTACTGCACCTCCTTTAGTACGCGTCCTGGTTTCTCACTCTCTCCTCTCCCCCTTGATTGGTTGTTGTTTGCACTCTGGCACTAATTAATTAGATTGAATTCACCTGCCTACTCCTTATTTAAGACTGCACTCCCTTGCTCTCATGTTTTTTTGTTTAATCCTCACATGGGGCGGCAGTTCAACAATGCATGGATGTTCAATCCCATGTGTGTTTATGTTACCCTTTTGATTCACCTAACTTAAAAAGAAATACACCTGTTGGAGCTATTTAATTGGGGTTAGAATTAGTTTTTTGTATTTAGTTTACTAATATTTGTGTGGTGTTGTTTATTTAATTATTCAACATGTTTTCTTTATTTAGAAAAGATTCTGGGTAATGTTTTATTTTGCTTGTATTTGTTTAGTAAATTAAGTATGTATTAGTAATTTTGTTAGGTATTAGGGTAATACTGTGAGCACTGGAGATTATTGAAAAAAGAGGCAGATAGAGGACCAGCATGCACCTGGGTGGGCCTATTGTTTTTTACCAGGTCAAGAGAGGCAGCGGGAGCCACGATTTTCTTTGTTCTTTTGTTTGTTTTTCTCAAATAAACCAGCAAAATACCGCAGCTCCTGCATGGACATTGGATTTCTTTTACCTGCGTACATTACATCCCCCATGGTGTATCAGTGGTCATTTGATTATTTTTGATATTAGTTTATTTAGATTTTTTTGTTGTTTTTTGGACAAATAGCGACTACAAAACCTGTTGCATAAAATCAAGTGTTGTTTGGATTCCTGCATCCTGACCCGATGCCCCATGGTGTGATAGTACCTCAAATTTGAACCCTTCTTAACAGGCAGTGTTGAGTTGTGAAGTGATATCTTTTTTTCTAACAAAAACAAAGTGCAGATCCTGAATATATATATATATATTTATTTAGTTAACAGCCATTCAAACTGCACTTTGCATGGAACTTTCTGCAGATTGAAGCCTTTGGTTACCTGGTTATTATTTAATCATTACCTTCTTAAACACAGGTTAAATTGCATGGCAGGATTGACTAGGTATTTGAGCTTAGCATAACTTTGTCAGTTTGCTCTTGATGTCAGAGGTTTTCAGTGATTTACAGCTCTAACATCTGTCCAGCAGGGGGCGACAAAGAGCTCTGAAGTTGGTTTGCTGACCAATAACCTGCAGCAACTTCAGAGCATCTGTTTTAACCCGTTATTACTTTGTTAGCGATAACTGTCTATTTGTCACTAAAGGGAATACCACGACTAAATGTGTTTTATTGACACTAAGCGGAGTGGCACATTGTAGTGAGAAGTGGAGGCGGCAGAACTGAGGAAAACAATGCTACATTAGCCTGAAAGCTAAGTTAGCGTTAGCAACATCCGTTGTTTACATTTGCTGGACTCCTTCACAGTCAGAGTTGAGCTGTTAGTGAAATACGAATGAGCTGGACACGAAGATGGAGGTGGCGACCAAAAGTGAGTAAATCTGTTGAAACCAAAACTAACAAATAACAGCGTCAAACTTTTATCTGCACGGAGATAAGTGTCCCTTTATTTTCACTTTGCTTACACATTCTGTATCTAGATGATTAACCTCAAACATTGTAAGAAGTACAGAACAGCAGCTGACCACAAACGAAACTGAACTCTGCCCTTAAAGAGGAAACAACACAAGCTGATACTGCAGCATGAAACATCCAGTCCTGCGATCACTTCAGTCCTTTGTGTGGGCTTGTTTTGTGCTACAGATGTTCTTCACTCCGGGGTGCAGCTGTGAGGCTGACACTTCACTGTATCCAGCTTTCATCTTGTATTTTCTGTTGATTTGAGGGGACAACACATCTCACGTATGTCGCATTGTTGCAAAAGGAAGCAGCGTGGCTCTTTTCATAACCCACAGGTGTGCAGGTGTCACATACTCTATGTTCTTGTCTTCTGTGTTGGTAGTTGTGACCTCTGCTGTAGATTCAGTGTTTAATTGAATTCCTCTCACACAAAATCGGCCATGCTTTGCCTGCAGTGAAAAACAGCGTGCATTGTTTTTATTTACCCTCCTTTCATAACCTTGTGCCCCCCTAGGGTCAACTATGGGGGGTGGTGTATAATTCATCAGTTTCCGGAGTGTAGTTCATGCTTTTGAGTCTACATTTGCAGGCTAATTGAACCATAAATATTATTAACTCAAACTTCACCTTTTATTAGTTGACTTGGCACGTCTTAGGAGGTCATTTGCAACAACAAAAAAAGAAGATATCACCAGGTGTAACCAAGATTCTATCAAATGATATGACGGTGAATGATGTGAAATGATGCTTTAAAGACAATAAACACACTACTGGAGATATAAGAATTATGGAATGGCTATCATTGCATAATATGAAAAAAGGAGGTAGTTATACGCACATCGAGCAGGTGCGGGGGCCGTGCAAAAACAAGTGTGCAGGCCTGTCTCTCTCCCTAATACTGTAGATTGTGTTGCACTGCTGACATGTTTGAGTATTGTGTGGCTTCCCAGGAAAAGTCAAACGGAGGCACCTGAACGCTGCAGAGTGTGATGAACTGGGACGGAGTGCGGAGGGCGCTGATGCCCTTACCCGGCCCCGAACTTTCAACCAGACCCAGACCCAGACCCAGGGCAACTGCAACCCCAACTGGGGACTTTACCCCAGGACGCCTACGAAGCGACGGAAGAACGGTAATCTGCTGTTTCCTTTCGTTACAAACATTTTGACAAATCTGGGTGTATTTGTAAATAGATATTATTCACAAGTTAAAGTGTGTATGTCGCGTAATGAACTTTTTAAGGTATTATATTCTAATTATTCCTCAAGGCACCACTCCCCGTTAAAGGAAGAAATGAACTTTAACTGTATAAGTTAATAAATTATTCAGTCTCATATCAGAATGTCAGTAAGTTCTCTGGATCACTTCAATCATTAAATAAACACAGACACAGTTCTAAATGATTACGTGTGATTTTATTACAGGAATCGTGAACAATAATGCAGATTAACAAAGTAAACATCAAAGATTATAATTTGTATGACTTTAAGAACAAAATTGTGGAAAAAGAAATCGTTTGATTTTAATTGACCTATTATGGTATCGTCATAATGGTGAAAGTAACAAATAAAACGATAAATGGTTTTGTAAGGATTTAAAGAAAAATGTGACTCATAATAAGCTCTTTCAATTTGAGAAAACCACAAAGTCAGTTTTATGGTGCTTGGACGATCCTCAGACCTCAGCATGAGGCCCAGGATGCCAGTTATCTGTGGAAGTGTTCGTTCAATCATAATTCAAAGTCAAACACAAGAGTCAAAGGAGAAGTCCTGGTTCCTGGTCAGTGTTAACCTACAGGATGTTTTTTTTATTTATTGCACAAAAAAAACATAAACATAATAGATGAATGGAAAAGCAGACAGTACATAATGATTAGTTAATTAACAAACTATACATTTTGAAATAAATGTGCTGGAGGAGCCAAATAAACCCAGAGGGGCTTGTCCAGTGGCCCTCCTAAAGAGAAACATGTAACACAGAGACTTATTATTAATGTAGTCCAAGCAAAAACAATAACGCTAACAAGAACACATACTCAATAAGGTGTAAAAGAAAGCAACACAAGAAAGAGACAAATTTAAGAAGAGGGGAAAAGGGAACATAAGCTCTTATGGCAGAGAAAGATTATGATGGCGCATTGGCCAAGCAGGAAATAAATGGTTTGTTTTTTAAATAAGATGTTGTTGAGCTCTTAGCAGTTCTTTGATCCAGGGGTTCACTAAAAAAAAAAAAGGGGAGGAGTTCTGTCAGTTTGTTCTGCATCTGGTTCCGTTACATGTACTTGCTTGACTTCCTTCAATGTTTTAGGACCATCAGACTCGGTCTCAGGAAGTCCTTCTGGGCAACAGAAGAGCATCAACAGCTTCTTCTCTGTGACAGGAGTCATAAGATCCAGCCCTCATAAATCCCCTCAGCCCTCCTCGTCCACATGCACAAATGGAGTCAATGTAGACCTCTTTCCTGAAGCAGAGGACGAGGACGAGGATGATGATGTCAGTCTTTTAGCTGCCCCGATGGCAGTAGAACTTGAAGCAGAGGACGAGGTGGACGATGTAAGCCTGCTAGCTGCAGACATAGAGCCGCGGCCTGACAAGAGGCAGAACATGACTGTGGATTATTTGGAGGGAATGACAGCTGAGATGTTCGGGGATGATGAGGAATTCGACCAAGGTGGCAATAACATTCGCGACGAAGATGAGGAGGTGGAAGCCCTCCCCGACGAGCATTTCGGGCTCCTCGGAAACGACAAGGTCCTGCAGGAGCCCCAGGGCTGCATGGATGACCTACCAGAGGAGGTGCTGAGACAAGTACTGAGCCTGGTCCCTGCCCAAGACCTATACCGCAGTGTGATCCATGTCTGCCACAGCTGGAGGAACATCGTCGAGGACACCAAGGTTAGACACAACACATCATTTTTCATTAGTTTTATATTGTCAATATGGTTAAAGGAGGACTCAAGAGTTAGGTTATTCTAATATAACTGATTAAAGAATGATACGCTTTTACTTCATCCAGGAAAGAATGTAAAAAAAATATACATGTTTTAGAGATGAAATGTCATTTGTTTACCTTCTCTTTTGTTCTTTTACCCGTTCTAGTGATACCAACACCCAGTCCCTGTCAGAATTCGAATAAAAGAAAGCTAATCGAATTAACTCCACTCTTTATCATTGTTGTATGTTTGTGTTTCACTGTGCAGTTCGTCCCCTTCAAGAAGAAGTACTTCCGCTACATGATGAAGGAGAAGGTCACGGTGATGGAGATCATGGCCATCCTGAAGACGAGCAAGATCACAAAGCCGGCACCTCCCGAGCACAGCATACGACACCTCGTTGTGTAAGTCTGTTCTATACTGACGTGAAGAAGAGCGAGGTCACACTGCAAGGCTGAGTATTGTGAAGAGACAACACTGTCTGCTGCAGTGGCCTCGTTCTGCACTACTGCTTGTCAGTATGATTATGATAATAATAATACATTTTATTTATAAGCACTTTAAAAAAACTCAGACACTTTACAGTAGTTAAAAAAAACAGAAAGAACAGCACAGTAAGGACAGACTAACAGACATTGCAACATTACACACAAATCATAAAGATAACAACAATGAAGGTAAAACTACAGAAAACAGAAAATACATCACAATCATACATTAAAAGCTTGTTTGAAGAGGTGAGTTTTGATCAGTGATTTGAAAGTAGGAGGGTCGGTGCAGTGTTGAATGTGTGTAGGGAGTGAGTTCCAGAGGGAGGGGGCAGCTATGATGAAGGCTCTGGTCCCCCCAGGCTCAGTGTTCTAAGAGGGCGAGACAGGAGGTTGGCTTTTGAAGAACGGAGGCTGCGTGCAGGAGTGTGAGGGTGAAGGAGAGCCGTGAGGTAGGAGGGGTAGGCCTGGTGGTTAAGGGCTTTATGTGTGAGGAGAAGGATTTTGGACTTTGGATGATTGTTTTTTGAAAGTAAGGAGAGGTTTTCATTTCTTACTTCTTTTTTTTTTTGCTTTGTGGTAAGTTTAATGGCCCAGCATAAGGTGGGAGAGCGGGTGAGGCCGGAGGACGTTCTGGAGTGTGTGAAGAAACATCGCCTTTTCCCTCAGGCCGAGGCCTCCATTAGACTCCGTATTCCTGATATTAAGAAGAGCTTTAACCTCGGCATTGAGGTATGACCCACACACCGAAGCCCTCCGGTTATCAAATGGGGAAAGCTGAAATGTAAAAGTTCTTGTTGAGGTGTGCAGTCCTAACATGGCTTGCGTCTGATCTCCAGGGTCCCAATCCGTACGCAGCCATGGCTGTCATACTGCTCCTGAGCGAGAGTGTGGGCGACGTGCAGGCTTTAGTGTCTGTTCTCACTAGCTGCATGGCGCACACCGCCATCATGGAGTACCTCAACCACATGGCCATGATGTTGCTGGCCTTGAAGAGATACAGCATCCAGATTAGTAACAGGTAAGAGCTGTCAGAGTCAACATCCTAAATTCCTTCATTAAACGCCTGGAAGCGTTCCAACGGGTCTTTTCTTTCCCGTCGTCACAGGTTGCATTACAACATCTACTACGTACTTCACCTGATGGAGAACGGCCCCTTTTCAGTCAGCTGTGGTCAGAGCGGGTGAGGACTGAACAATTCTGTTTCATCAAAATCACATGAGGAGATTAAGCTTTGTCAACAGTCGTCAACTTTTATGTTGTTGTTGTTTTTGCCAGACGGCCTAAGATGCAGCTCACAGGGGAACAGCAGCGTATCCTCAGCCATGACATCCAGGTGGACCATGTGGTCAAGATTGTGGCTTTTGCAGGTACAGTGGCAGCTATCGCTTTGGTCATCCACACATTATGGAGTAATTTAGTGGGTCACAAACAACAGGCCTTTTTGCCTTTTATTGGATAGGACAGCTGAAGAGAGACAGGAGATGATGGGAGGAGAGAGTGGGAGAGGACATGCAGCAAAGGCCAGAGGTCATATTCAAACACACAGCCGCTGCAACAGGGACTACAGCCTCTGTACATGGGGCGTGCGATATATAACCACTAGGCTACTGGCGTGTGTATGTAGGGGTGATTTTCTTTAAAGAGGACATATTATCCCCCTCTTTACAGTCCCCCTGTGGTCTAAATGAAACATATGTGCTGTTCTTTGGTCAAAATATAACATGAATCAAGCACCAGAGGAGGTTTGTGACCCTGTATAAACCAGCTCTCTCAGAACGCTCCGTTTTGGTGTGTGTGTCTCTTTAAATGTAATGAGCCCCCCCCTGAGTTTTCCCGGTAGACATCACTCCTCTGTAGAGAGAATAAAAATGGCGGATCTGCGCACAAGCTGGGAGTGGAGTCCATACGTTGAGATACCAGAGGAGGAGAGGGTTTTTTTTTTTAACCAGAATCCCACTGTGACATCACAAGGAGAGCACATTTGAAAGGGAGCATTTTTCTCTGTGTTGTAAGACTTATGCAGACCACAAAGAAAGGACTGGATGGGTTTATTTCACATTTTGTGGGTCAGTAGACACTCAGGTTACCTAAATATATGTTCAGAAACACTGTGAAAGTGGATTCTTCATAAAATGTCCCCTTTAATATTGAATGTACTCCATCTCATTGTCTTGCTGTGAATAGCCATGAAGTTCAGTTCTTCTTGTTTTCTCTTTGTTCGTCAACACACTTTGTAAACTTTGTTTTTAAAAGTGCTATATAAATAAAATGACTGTTCTGTATAAAACAAGACAACAGAAATACAAGTGTTTTTGTAAACAATAGAATGACATTGGTGGGTCATAGCTGAAAGATCTGTGCTGTCTCGCCGCAGGCACGGGGAAGACGACCACGCTGGTGAAGTATGCTGAGCAGCGGCCACATCTTCGTTTCCTCTATGTGGCCTTCAACAAATCAGTGGCCACTGAGGCGCAGCGCCGCTTCCCATCAAATGTGGACTGCAAGACCATCCACTCGTTGGCCTTCAGTGATGTCGGAAAGAGGTGAGGAGTGAAAAGATGCCCACAGCGACAGTTCAAGTTTTGTGGACAAAAAGCTTTCTAAATGATCTGGGTAATACATTTGTATGTAGGGTGAGATAACACATGTGCTCTCCAGTATTAATTATATTCTGACTTCGGGCACAAAGATGCCGGTGCTGCTAAAAAAATGTCCCATTCAGTGAAATGCACAAGACTTCTGCCTCTTCACTCAGTGGAGGGATGAGAGGTGTAAAAAACGTGTAATAAAGCTTTATAAAGAAAAGAACATAAAGAATATACCAGTTTCTCCTGCTTGGATAAACTCACTCCATCCTTAATTATCTGAACATATTATCTGTTGTGTATGACTTGTACTCATGGAGGAGTTTATGCCTTTATTAGAGAGACAGCACGAGAGAGAGAGAGAGAGAGAGAGAGAGAGAGAGAGAGAGAGAGAGAGAGAGAGAGAGAGAGAGAGAGAGAGAGAGAGAGAGAGAGAGAGAGAGAGAGAGAGAGAGAGAGAGAGAGAGAGAGAGAGAGAGAGAGAGAGAGAGAGAGAGAGAGAGAGAGAGAGAGAGAGAGAGAGGAGAGAGAGAGAGAGAGAGAGAGAGAGAGAGAGAGAGAGACCTAACCGGGGCTGCCTGATTGGAGGACTATAGCCTCTGTACTTGGGGGCACGAACTAACCAGAGTCCACCACTATGATGACATGTTATTGCCTTTAAAGCAATGCTATGTGTAATCAGGCATATTCAAAGTATCAAAGAACGAGCGGAGAAGAACATACAGCCAATCAGAAAAGGGGCATGATGCATGCTATAAATGTCATCACCCTTTCCTGCTCGCTCGCTCCCATTGGATTGTCCTGGCTTTTACCCGCTGCATTCACACATCAGCTCACCCCCGACTTCACATGGAAATTTTACTATAAGGCTGGCAGGGAAAATGCCCCCATTTAAGAGACAGGGCAGTGGACAGTCAAAGAATCGGTAATTGGGCCGTGAACATTAACCACTACGCTACGGCCGTCCCCTTTTTGGGAAGTTTACTGGAATCTTTTTTGCATGTCTGAAAATGGATTATTTCTTATTTATCTGGCCTCAATACCATGTTGTCTCACATACAGTGGGTCTACATTAAGTTGTCTTAAGCTCTAATTTGACGTTCCTTTGACCACCCAACATTTATTTTCTACAGAACAATATGAAACATCTTTGATTCTGCAAAAACATAAATGTTCTACCTTTATGTATCTGCAGTCATCTTTACAAATGTTTTTAAATTTCAAGCAAAATAACTTTTTATTATTTATTAGTCAATTTATTGAACATGTTAAGGTAATACAAACAAAACAAAAAAACAAACTGGATCCTCAGGATTGGCCAAAGCAAATAAAGTTTTTGGACAAAACAACAACAAAATAATTGGAACATAGAAATAGGGTTATTTCTAACCCAAGAAAAAAGCCAAATAATACAGAAATAAACTAAACTAATTGCCCTCCTGTGATCTTCCCTTTCCAGCTACACCCAGAAGCTTAGCTTTAACCTGAAGCCATTCGCTCTGAGCTTTGCGCTCCCCGAAGGCCGTGGTGGCTTCATCAAGGCCAAAGTGGTGGCGACGACTCTGAACACCTTCATGGCTTCAACAGATAAGACCATTGATTCCAGTCATGTCCCCTTGTACTTCATTAACAAGATGGGCAACAGGACAGATGTGAACCCAATGGAGAGACCGGTATGAAAATGACACTCTGGCTTCCTTTTCTTTAAAAAAAAAAAAAAAAAAAAATCTTCTGGAGCATAAACCATCAAATCATGTTTGAATTGTTTCTCCCAAAAAAATAGTTGTTTGTGGAAGATGCGAAGATGATCTGGAACAAAATGAAGGATCGCAAAGAGAGAAAAAAAGAGGCCTACTACATGACCCACGATGGTAAGTCCACTGGGAATGAGTTGTATTAATTCATAGTAGGAAATATAAAATGTTAGGTTGAATGCGTTACAGGTTGTCAATGAACCTTTTTCATTCTCAGGGTACCTGAAGTTATGGCAGCTGAGAGACCCCAAGCCAAAACTGTCTAACAGATATGATGTCATCTTTATCGACGAGGCCCAGGACTGCACTCCTGGTAATGATGATAACTGTTTCAGGTCTGCAGGATCGTTAGGAAGCATCATTTATTGTGCCTGACATTGTGTGGTAATGGTGTCTTCTTTCTTTCTCCCATCCCTCCCAGCCATCATGGATGTGCTTCTGTCTCAGCGCTGTGGGAAAATCCTGGTTGGAGATCCTCATCAGCAGATCTACACCTTTAAAGGAGCCGTCAATGCCCTGCAAGTTGTCGACCACACACACATCTACTACCTGACACAGGTATCGCTCATACTGAAGTGCAGAGATTCAAACGAACATTACTAACCTGGGAATGGTTTTAGAATCGGATTAAAATCGCAATCCTCACTCCATTCGGCTGTTTTTGGTCTTCCAATTTAAAAAAGGAAAATTGGGGGAGGTCAGTAAGGGCAACTCACTCAAAGCAAAGATGTCCCGTTCCATGCTCAAGTGCGATTGACCTCTCCTGTCTTCTAGTTACCACAAAAGCTGATACATATATTGACTCACAGTCATCACAGGGGGTCGTTAATGCACAGTATTTTTAATATATATGTGTATAAATGTACATGTATATTACTTTCAAACTACTAATGTCTTTGTCCAGAGCTTCCGATTTGGTGCCGAGATCGCCTACGTGGGTGCCACCATCCTCAGAGTTTGCAAAAATGTGCAGAAGATTCTAGTGGGAGGAAGGCAAAAAGGTAAACACTGCAAACAGTTTGAGTATGTTATCTACTAAGAAAAACAGGAACTATTTTAAAATAATGTACATGATTTGAATATCGTTGTTTTTAAGAAAGTATTGTTGTTGTTCATTTGTAGGTGGTGTGTGTGACAAGACGGCAGAAGAAGCTGCAGAAGCCATAATGCAGGGCGTCAGTCAATGTCCCGGGAAGACGGCCATCCTGTCAAGATGCAACATCACTGTGTTCAACGAAGCTGTCCGGCTCTTAGATGCCAACAGGACGTGCCAGCTCCATTTTGTAGGAGTGAGTGAATGTTTGTATGGCTCTCTACAAAGAACTAGCTTTTTGAAGGAATGAAGAAATATGCTTTTTGTTTGTTTTTACTCTAAAGTTTAGATAAAAAAATTGCCACAATTTGAAAGTTTGTCGTTGAATGTACATCCACAGCCACTAGCTTCGCTTGGCATAACAACAGGGAAGAGAGGAAAATGGTTACCCAGGGTAACAAAGAAGATAAACCATTTTAATAACTAAGCTTGGAAGGCAGATTCTGTTTCGGTTTCGAACAGCCCAATTTCCAATACGACCTGCGGCTCATTAGAGACTTTATAGCCAGCAAGACTTAGAAGAACAGCATTCAAAATCCTCCTTTTCCACAGGTGACTTACAGTTATTGTTTTTCCTTAGGGTGTTCAGAGTATCGGCCTGTCAAAGATCATGGACATCTGGCAGCTGAACGAAGGGGATGCAGTGGCAAAGTATATGCAAGGATCTAAAACAAGAAGTAGGATTCTTAATTGATTGTTAAAATAGTTTTTTTTTTTAGAAATAGTTGTGCTTTTAGATGTTGAATTTTCTCTTTCCTCAGTCATCAGGGATCCTCTCATTCGTGCCTTTGCAAAGAAAAACAACGCCGGCTTCGGGGCGCTGAAGAAGTACGCGCTGCAGACAGAGGACCGAGAGCTGGACGCCAAGCTGAGCATCGTGGAAAAATACAAAAGTCGTATCCCCGAACTGGTGGCACGCCTGGAACAGTGCAATGTAGACGACTTTAACCAAGCAGGTAAGAAAAATATGGATTACTTAAAGCTCCTATAGAAACTTTGGATTCATGTTGATTGTGGTGTGGACAAAGCTGCATCTCTCCTCTCTTTGCTTGAAGATCATTCTCATGTTTTCAGATCTCACACGGCTTTCTTTTAAAAACTTTTTAAATGTCTGTTCGGTCAGTGTGCTGTTAATTACTTTGTCTGACACCTACCCCATGGCAGAAGTTTCAGGAGTTAATAATAACTATATAAATAATCAATGTTCCTGCTGATGGTCTTATGTGCAATTTTTTTTAAGGTGAAAAAGAGCTGTTAATATTAATTTCAGTCTGTTTCATAACCAGTTTAAGACTTCTAACAGGAGCTTTAATTGATCAACTCACAATAGTTTGAGTCTGCTTGATTGTTGAAGTTGTTTTTGGTTAATAATAATTTGTGTTTTAGAATGTGGTCAGCAGATTTCACTTTTTCTTGAAAGACCTCAGATTATTCTGTAAACCTGCCTTCTTTATATCGTAGAATAATTTGACTCATTGTTTTGTTCCAGACTTCATATTGGGAACGGTCCACAAGGCTAAAGGTCTGGAGTTCGACACTGTGATGGTCACTGATGACTTCTCCAAGGTCCCCTCCTCCAGACACAACCTGCAATTCAATGCTGACTTCTCTTTTGGTGTGTTTCTATGTTACATTGTGGCCTTCTTGGTAAACACTCATTTCCTGTGCTTTACAGGGAAAAGCATTTCCAGCTCCTTCATAGGTTATCAATCACAGAGCCATTAAAAGTTGATAGCTCTATAGTTACATCCTTAGAATGATATTCTGTCTGTCTGTCAGATTGTTTTACTCAGAAAACTGAAAACAGTTTTGTTAAAATGATCAGTAACCTCTGAATATTTCTCTCCCCTGCTCAGATAAATGTCCTGATGATGAGTGGAACCTGCTGTATGTGGCGGTGACTCGTGCCAAAACCTCACTGATCATCACAAAGAACATCCGCCGCATCCTCACTGTGGCAGGGGTAAGACATAATCTCCCAAATAGCATCGCTCTCTTTACCTCATCGTCGTCATCTTTACTGACAGACTCAAATTAGAAAACACATGAAAGACAAACAGACAAAACACCACCAATATCAGAAGAGACAGCTGCACCAGTGTCTCCACAGGGATGACTGGTATTGCACAGAACTCTGACTGGGATTTGTCAGCAGTATAGTTATGGAGTGTCTGAGAATCCTCCAATGGGCAGTACAGCATGGAAAGTGTTCACTCCTGCATTACAAGTTATCACTTGCAGGAGTGATGCCTGTTAAGGAAGTCTCCAGGACGCCTCTCTTTAGAGGTTTTTTTCTGGGCACGCCCAACAGGGAGGAGAGCCCGGGGCAGACCCAGAATACGCTGGAGGGGATTATATATCCAGTCTAGCCTGGGAACGCCCCAGGGGGAACTGGAATACGTTGCTGGGGAGAGGGAAGTCTGGGTTGACGTACTGCGTCTGCTGCCACCGCGACCCCACCTCGGATAAGAGGTTCATCAATTTTTTTTTAATAATATCCTCATTGAGTCATTATAAGATGAAGCTTTTGTAAGCTTGCTGTTTTATACCTGGCCCACAGGGGGGCAGTATGCTGTAAAGAGATTTAACTTGACATGGTCTGAACACACTGAGAATGTTCTTGCTAACATACAGTACTGACCTGACTGAACATCATCATCATCTTCATCATCAGACATGTGTTCCATAATGAAGTGCACTACATATTTGATTTTGCTACAGACACTTAACTCCTTCCCTGACAGGTTGAACTTGACGTCCTCGTCCCCCTTTTGCACTGCATATTAACACAGTACTCTTTTTAGCATTGTAATGCACGTCCTATGTTACTCCATCGTCAGAACATTTGTTCTCGGGGGGGGGGGGGGGAGGAATGCCAAATCATCAGCATACACATGAAGCCTTACAATCTAATCAGGGACCCCATTTTTACTTAGTGTGATAAACAACTTTAGATGTTTGATGCAATCAAAGGAAAAGAGGCATCAACAAATCCTATAAGGACAGGCTTCAGCAGTACTGGTAGCTTCCTGTGTAAGTGTTGTGACACTTCCCTTATCAATACTTCTATGGAAACATAATTCAGACTTTTTTCTCCACATCCCGGTTTCACTTCCAGCCCTTTAAACTCTTCATTTTGTATATGTAGTATGTATGTTTACAGAATACGCATGTTAGAGCTGGGTATTATCAACAACCTCACAATTCAATTCAATTTCAGTTCTTCGGGTCACGATTCTATTCGATACTGATCAATTTGCTTGGATACAGATTTAATAATACATACAGATGACAGGAATACTCAGATAACTCATCATAGTACCTGTTCTGTTATTTGATAAATAATTATGTATGCATTGTTTGTAAAGGTTTAGAACAAACTGACTCAAAATGTATTTTATCATCCCATTATTCTTTAATAAACAAAGAATAAAACATGAAAGTACAGTACGATCTAAAGTGCACAATTGTGCCTGACCTGAATTCACAGCACCCACAGTGCCCCCCAGTGGAGAGGGGTGTCATTACAACAACAACAAATCAATCTTAGGATTTCCCTGAATTGATATTGAATTGGGAAAATAATCATTGCAATGCATTGATGAATTGATATTTTTAACCAGCCCTAGTTGCTGGAGCTGCCGAAGATTACAAATTGTTACTGTGCTGTGTGTTTTCTAACTATGAATGGAATTCTTGGAGAGTTTGTTTTAATGGGGTCGGCCATGAATGTCATGAATGTCATTAAAGAGAGAGAAGATGTTTAGTTCAACGGAGCACCATTGTTCTAGGAAGAAATGAAAGCACTCCCTCCTCAGAAGCAGTAAACCAAAAACAGAAAATGCTCTACGGTCTCTAAGCTTTCACAAGGCTTCACTAAACCTGCATGAGAATAAGTGCTCTTTTAAAAGCATGAACCTGGTAGCCAACAAGATTCCATACTCGCCTCCTTTTCTTTAAACTCTTTACATCCCCTTCCTTGACGTACATTAGACAAAACCTGTGTCCTCAAAGTTGAGCAAGCAGATGTGGTGAATTAAGGTGAAACGCGTCACTAATCACTAAAGCTGAATATTTGTGTTTGTTTCTTCTAAGAACCAGCTCCTTATTTCATCATTTCTCTCTTGACCACAAGCTTCAAACATTGTCTAATGGTGCTATTGATAATGTTTTTTTCAGTGCTGTATTTATCATTCAGATACTCAATTTCCAGGCTGAGTGCATTTTTCCCCGTGCTTGTGCACCTGCTTGAGATCGAGTGGAAAAACAGAAAACGATCCTTGTAAGAATTCCAGAGTAACACGCCAGGTGGTCAAACTCAACAGGTTACCTTTACTGTGTTTGGATACCTGTTACACATCTTCAGCTCGTCATTATCTTTCTGTCACTTCCAGGAATACTTCCCGAAGTCAGACATGCCGGCCTCTCTGATGAAGGCTGGCGAGCCTCTCCCGTGCTGCGTCAAAGACTGTCCCAACTGCACCACACCGGGCTCTGCATTCATCATGAGCAAACGAGAGATGAAATGTGTAAGAACATATCAAACAAACCAGTGTCATTATAATGTTTACAAAAACACTTATATTTCTGTTGTCTTGTTTTATACAGCACAGTCATTTTATTTAGAACTGAACTTCATGGCTATTCACAGCAAGACAATGAGATTGAGTACATTCAATATTAAATGGGACATATTATGAAAAATCAATTTTTACAACACAGAGAAAATTCTCTGTTTCAAATGTGCTCTCCTTGTGATGTCACAGTGGGATTCTGGTAAAAAAAAAAAAAAAATCCCCTCCCCTCCCCTGATATCTCCACCCATGGACTCCACCCCCAGCCTAAAACTTTTGTGCTGGTCCGCCATTTTTATTCTTGCTACAGAGGAGTGATGTCAACCGGGAGAACTCAGGGGGGGAGGGTCATTACATTTAAAGAGACACACACACCAAAACGGAGCGTTCTGAGAGAGCTGGTTTATACAGGGTCACAAACCTCCTCTGGTGCTTGATTCATGTTATATTTTGACCAAATAGACCAAGAACACAAACATGTAGACTTGCAGCGGAGAAGAAAATGGTGAAACAATCAGAGTAAAAATAAAACAAATTGAAGAAATAAAAGCAACAAAATAATGGAGGACATAAAGCAATAAGGGTTATAGAAAGATAAAAGGCAAAAAGAAAGACATCAGTCCTTTTCCTTTCAGGCAGGTTGTTCCAAATCAGAGGGTCCTGCTGTCAAAAGCGCCATCTCCTGTGTTTTTCACAGATTCATGATATTTTTAGAATAACACAAAACATTATAGCCCGTATTGTATAAGCTGTAATTAGTAAGCATTTCCTGACGGTTGCACTGAAGTAAATCTAAAAACCCTACCTGGTTATTTATTGTCTGCTCAAATGATAGAAGCACAGGAGTTGTCCCTTCAGACACATTGGTCGTTTAGATTTGAATTCTCCTTCTTTCCTCTCGTCCAGACTGATGGTGTGTCCGCCGGTGGCCCGTTGTGTGAGAGGTGTGTGTGGACACGAATAGGACCCACTGCCTTTCTCATGACCGACGACGTGCTCTCAATGGCTGAGATCCCCCATAGACTCGGCCCACAGGTCCACGACTTGATGCTCCTTGCACTTTTCTAACTCTACTTGTGTCCAAGGGAAACAGCCTTTCTTACAGTATGAAAAAAAGGGACCTCTGGCTTAGATTGAAAAGGCTGAAAAGGACATGAGCAGCCAGGAATGTCAGGTGTTAGGTCACCTAGAGACAGTGAAAGATGTGTAAGCAGTTTTAAAGTTTTTTTATGTATTTTTACAGGTTTTTTCCTTTTTAATCTAAAAAAAAAATGGTGTTGCATTATCCATTTGAATATAGAGAAGATGGGCTCCCATTAAACATAATCAGAGGCCTGAGGTTTAACCAGAGTGTTCTTAATGTATGGTACTGCTGTGTATTAAAACAAAAACAGAACTGCTGGCTTGTCTGATTAATAAAGGAAAAAATCTTCTTTAGTGTCTTCCCTCCTTATGAATTCAAAAGTCAATAATGTTTTTAACACTTTGAGGTTTTTTGTTAAGATGGTGTGTGTGTAGCATTTTAAAATACAGCCAATGAGATACAACTTTTAATTATCTCTTCATTTACAATACTCCACTTAGTGTGTGAGGCAGATAATCTGTAAATGACAGCAATGAGATGTACCCATCAGCTGCAACCAATCAATCTCGGCCTCCTGGGAACAACGTTGAGCAGCGCTTTACGGTCATGAAATAAAACTAATAATCCTCTGAATGCATTGGATGAAATAACAATGAAGTATTGAAACTGATTCTGACAACCAACATCTCTTACTACATTCACCATGACTGAGACAAATCTTCATGTGTACATGACCAGCTGTGAAAAAGAAACAGGAGAATTAAACAGGAAGTCTGTGTTTGGATTTGTAGCTTGGCTTTAAAAGTGTTTTTATGTTTTATCACTATCATATTTACCATTGAAGCTGTTCTAGTCAAATGCATAATGAATTTACTATGAAGGGCTAAGAAACGACAACAAAACCAGTTGAGATATAAAAATAAACAACACAAGATAATTGTTCCATTCTGCCTTAAAACACGCCGATAACATCCTGTTGTGTCTGAGAGGTCATTTCACTCTAGTGAGGTCAAACACTGAAAAAGATTTTCAATAAAATGGAATGGAAATTATATTTTAATTTAGTTTCAAAACACCTCACTAGAAGAAAAATCTGATACATTTTTTTTGTAATTTTATGTAATATCTATAAAATTAGATGGTAAGATAAAAAGTCAAACTTTAATGATTTACTCAACGATATTTACAAATATTCTGAATTCTATGCAACATTAAAAACAAGAAAGCACTTAACGCTTATTGTTTCTTAACAACATACAAAACTTAGGCTTTTAAGTTTAAATGTGCTTTATTAGCATGAACAAGTCAGTAGTGTTATTGCCAAAGTTGTAGCTATACAAAACAATTAATAGGACTTCTGTTATTATTTTATATGTTTGAAGTAAAAATGTAACACATATAATGCAACTTTACACCAATGTCTAAACTATATTTTAGTTTTGGATTGAGGTTGTCCCCTTTTAAATGGTTAGGGGGTGTTAGGCTGTATAGGATAATTTTACTATAGAAGAGACCATAAAAAAAATGGGAAAAGACCACAAAAAGGTGAGTAGATCATGATCATTGGATTGTTTTTGTTTTTATTAAAAAAGTATTGTCCTTGCTTAAAATTCAGTTGCTTCAAGAAATAACTGCATAGTCTGCTAATCAGTGATGTTACAGGAGTAACGTTATCAATGTGATTAAAGCTATTGTTAACACAGTATCCCCACTAAGCCTTTTCTAGGTTCTCATAAACATCAACTATGACCAGTACCAAAATAAAATATTTGTAGGGCAAAGAAAAGGGGTTTGTCAATAGTCAAAATGTTGAACATTGTTTAAATTCAGATGAAGGGGTTTCTGTCTGACCTATTCAAGTGTTAGTGTTTCAGAGTCAGACATCATGAGTTCATATATTTTCTAAAATAAAGCAAAAAGCTGATGCAAAGTTTCCCACAGTTAATGCAAAAATATCTATGAGATATCCCTTCTCTTCAGCCCCAAATATTAACTGATCAAGATATCAAAAGTCTAAAAATGTGATTGATATGGTTTAAAAAAAAAATCGTATTGAAGTTAAAGTTCAACTTTGCTTTATTGGCACGAACAAATCAGTGGTGTGATTGCCAAAGCAGTGTACATAGCACTTAATACAATAAGCCTATATTATGCATATTTACATTCATTATTCATAGCCTATTATAACATTATTATTATTTGACTTGGCAGGTTTCCATGTTTTCCAAAATAAGTTTCAGAATGTGTACAGAGACTGCTGTTGATTTTCAAGCATTTAAGGCCTATTTCTAAATCACTGTTTATTTCTAAACTTAAACAAACTATGATTGAATGTATACAGTGTGCGTCTTTATGGAAGTTCATTTAGTCTAACAGGCAAAAACCAATTGAAGGCAAGATACCTGCAACGTGTTTTTTCGCCGGTAAGTGCTTTACTCCAGTTGTCTTTCGTTATTAAGCATTGATGTTGTTTCATAAATTTTCAATATTGTTATAGTTTTTATATAATTTTTATTATCATAAAATATGTTCGGTTAAACGTCAGTCTTTGGATGGATATCTTGCAACATCTCTTCTGGTGACATAATTTACTAAAACACTGAAGTGAAAAAAAAAATGTTAAAGGGAATTTAATACGAAAAGGACGGATGTTTGACAATGGTCCACTTTCCAATTAGGTTGTATATTGTATTATATTTGTATATATTCTTGACAATATCTATGAAACTCATGTCAATAAAGCACAGTTGATTTGAATAGAAACAAACGAACCAGATGTTAATGGACAACTATTAACCCACATTCAGAAGCTTTAGTGAGGTCGTGTTTCAAGCAGCACTTAGCTAAACTGTTTGTTTATTTTTTTGTCTTATTGTTTTTCTTTTGTTTCAGCCAGAAGGCAGTTCATGCTAATTGTGATGCTAACGTAAAGGCAAAGCGAGCTCATAGTTTTGTTAGCATTAAGTCTTGTCACGTCGTCTAGCAGCGTCTGTTGCTATGGATACGCTGTTAATTCTCTCAAACCGCAATGTATTTTTAGCCTATTCATTTAAAAAATAATTTAAAAATATATTTTAATTTTCTCAGTCAACTCGGGGTAATGAAACATAAAAAACAAGTTTATTTTCAGAAATTCGTCAGAGTGCATTAATGTGTGTTTTCATCACTTGGCCTGTTGTGTGAATATTTAGTTCGTTTCCGGTCAGATGTCCTGCAGCTCCTAGGTTGTTATGTTAAAATGTCGCTTATAACGCTTATAAACAGAAATGCTTAGCTATAAATTACTCCTGTTATAACTGAGATATCTGAATAAATAAAATAAATAATACTATTTCCACTGACAAATTTGAGTTCTGCATCCCAAAACGTCACGTCAAAGCTGATAGCAGTGCATGTCCTGCTTTTCTCTCCTTCACAGCTGCTGCGAACATTTCAGCTCTGAAAAGTCCAAAAGTCAGAAATTAAGGACACAAGACTGATATAATAATTTTCTAAATCCAAAATACATTTTTATCCAACGAAATATAGGTTTCTGTCCATATTTCTTGACGCTGAAGCCTTATAAAACATTTTTACTGCGCTCAAATGTTGCGTAATGTCAGACACCTGTAAGCTTTAACGACGCCGTCCAGCAGAAGTCAAACTGCCCCGTGAATTATACATATTCCTTAAAAAAAGTTAATTCAATGATACAATTAAATCTTTATTTAGAATGTATGCACAGAAATTGCGCATAAAACAGGCTGATGGAAACATACATAATGTACCAGAAGGATAGAATAATAGTGCACACCTTTAAGCTAAAGGATGTAGGCCTACTTGAAATATATATATTTGTTATCCTATTGTTAATTTAACGCTTTTTGTCTGTCTTTTTTTAACCCTATCTATATCTCAATCTGACCTTTTTCCTTCATTCATGTCTAACATGTCCACAGATAGAACTAGCACAATGCTATCAGTGTGATTGATTAAAACACACAAAAAGAGGATCAAGCTGCTAAAGTTTCATCATGACTGATGCAATGAGAAGAAAGGAGGTGAAGGAGCGTGGAGTGGCCCACAGCATACAGCAACAGGAGGAGAACTTGCCCTACCCACATATGGCTTCTGTTGTTTTCCTGTGCTTGAAACAAAGCACCAAACCTCGAAGTTGGTGTCTGGCGATGACCAACAGCCCATATCCTTTCCTTCCACTGAAGGTCTAAACTTGCCCAACAACCGGAGACACTGAATATCAGGAAGAATAACACAGAATAATATGTTTGACTTGATATCACGCTGTATGTATCCATCTGAGTTCATGTGATTGTCTGATAGAGTTTGAAGAGGAGCCTGGAGACTATGCAAACATCGTACAATTTAAGCTGTATAAGTCCCATTAGGTGCCTACTGCATTAAATCTTTCATTCTCTGTTTTCCAAAAGTTACATGAAGTTATAAATGTGATCTACTCTGTCTGTTTTGGACTTAACCTGTACCTGCACATGGATGGATTATATGTCCATTCTGATGGTCCTGCTCACCTGTGTGACTCTGTGCATGTACAAACCGCATGAAGAACTCAGCATCTACCTGAAGGTAAGTGTGACCTCTAGGGGGAACCGGCAGTAGAATGTATTTGATGACCTTTCAATTATTATTTTAATTTATCAGTAAAAGTTAGAAATAAAGTGAAGTTGTAGAAAAGCAAACCTTTACCCTGTGAACGTATGTGAGCACAAGCTTGGTTGTTGTTGCTGTATCTACAAGTGTTCTCTTTTTCTATGTGTATGACCAGGTTTTTGAGGTGGTTATATTTGCACTGTTCTTGTTGGAAATGGTCATCAAGATGGTGGCCATAGGGATCCCTGGCTATCTGTGCAGCAATTGGAACAAGTTTGATTGCTTCATCAATTGTGGAGAGTAAGTATCCAACGCTTCTGTCCCTTGCTCACAAATATCTCTATTTTCTCATTCATCTGTAGTTAACTCTAGATATCATGTGAAATGTCTTTGTTACTCCAGGGTTAAATACATTATCGACAATAATTCAAACACAAATGCAGAAGTGCTCCTAGCTTTAAATTGGAGAAACAAAGCAATCTGGATTTTTGCCTGAACATACATGTAATATGTTATATGTAATATGTAATAGAAGGAATTCAAACAATATATTTTTGAGCCATCAGCCTCTCGTGTGTTCATAATCATCATAAGAATGTGTGCACATTTATTTTTTGTATATGTAACTGTCCCTTCAGAGTGATGGATTTTGTTCTGGCCCACTACGGCTACCGATGGCAATTTTTTCAAGCTCTCAGGCCGATGCGACTGTTTGGTAGGATACAGAGTAAGTCAATATTTGAACATCTGAAAAACTACTTAGTACTCCTCAATGGCCCCAAATTATTCACACAGGGCCCTGATGGTATTCATCCTAAACATCCAATCATCAGCATGTTTTTTTTTCTCAAAACATTCATTGTTGTCTTCTTTTCTCCCTTCTCTTTTTTGTAGGTATGCAAATTTTGGTGACAGTACTCGTGGACACCCTGCCAATGCTGGGAAATGTTCTCTTCCTCAATATGCTGGTCATCCACATCTTTGCAGTTGTGGGAGTCCAGCTTTGGGGCGGGCAGTTGCGAAACCGCTGCTTCCTGGGAGAGGACATTCCTACGTAAGGATATCTTTCTTTGTTTTCTTCAAGTGTTTACATTTTGAATACTTTCAGAGCTAGAATCGGCTAAAAAAAAAAGGCCTCCATGTATTTAATAACAGTCCAGAATATTAACAATAATATGAAATAGAAATACAGCAAATATTTACATTGAAGCTTCAACAAGAAAATGTCTGGTGTTTGTACATGAACTATACATGTAACAATTCATTGATCATTATTGTCACCAGTTCACATTCTGTCAATCAAATTATTAACTGGCTAATTATTACTTCAATGATATGATTGATGTTGCCTCTTGATGTGACCTGTGATTACTTACCAGCTTTATGTAAACTGTTTTTGAGCTATTATCTTTATTTTTCAATTTAGAGAGTACAATGTATCCCTGAGTCCATACTACCTCTCCAAGCTTGGTGAAATGTACCCCTTCATCTGTTCGCCTGACAACAAAGGCGGGATGCAACGCTGTAGTGATATCCCAGCTTACAAAGAGGATGGAGAGACCTGCTCCTTGGCTGCTCCCCTCCATCGTTCAGCAGTAAATGCAGGCAACTGTGTCAACTGGAACCAGTACTACAACGTCTGTCGGCCCGGGGCGGACAACCCGTACATGGGAGCCATCAGTTTTGACAACATTTGCTTCTCCTGGATAGCCATATTCCAGGTAAGGAGGGCTTAATATGTGTGTCAGTTAATAAAGTCGATGTTCTGTTTGTGACAATAAAGATGAAAATAGGGAGTTAGGAATATAAGGTATGTAATTATGTTTTAATGTTATTCTTCTGTCGCTCCTTGTTTCCAGGTTGTTACACTGGAAGGATGGGCAGAGATCATGTTTTTTGTAATGGATGCCCACTCCTTCTGGAATTGTCTGTTGTTCATATTTGTCACCATTGTAAGTGGTCGCTTGTCATATTTGACCCTTCAGTTGACGGCCTCAGCATTTAACCATGTTGTTGTCAAATCTCTGTCAAAGTCAAATCCCAGCAAATTGAGGGAAGAATCACTTACATGCAAACATGCTTCTGTTACCCAACCAGATGGGCTCTTTCATTATGATGAATGTGTGCGCAGTCGTCATCGCCACCAAGTTCTCTGAGAACATGGAGAGGAAGACCGAAGAGCCACACGCTGGCACTGTTACCATAACACAGATATTTGAAGAGTTGAAGTGTTTGGTGGAGAGGACCTTCTCCAAAATCAACAGGTCAGTTACTGTATAGGTATAGGTAACAACTTATATCATATATATCCAACCTGAATATACTGTTAAGTAATGACTTTCTAAAAAGAGAGTTAAATCAAACCTCCTCTGGGTTTGTTCACACTGACGAGATGACACTTTCTTCAGCTCCTTTATGTGTCACTCAGAGGATCAAACATGTTTCATACATTTTTACACTAACCCCTCCCTGTCCAACCGTTAGCCCTGCCACCACATGGGGAAGAGAGACAACTTCTCCTAATCAGGGAGACTGTGTGAGGGGCATAATGGCGGAGTGGAGTGGATTGTTGGGGAGTACAATTGCAGGAGAACCAACATTTCTGAACCAAAGAAAAGACTTTGCTCGGTCAAAAATACTCCCCGCTGAGGGAGTTTTGTTTTGGTCTGAGAGACTGGTCCCAAATTATAATTATGCCATTAGGAAGCATATGAAACATGTTGATGTTTTTGTGATGAAATTATTTATTTGAAAATATGTATATAAATGCCTCATAATTAAACCAAAAAATGTTGGTAGCCACTTCCTGTAAGTGTCATTCTAAAGCTAACAAACATGGACACAGAGATACATAACAGCATGTTTTAACCTGAAAATTATTTATTTTTATATATTCATTTATATTCTTTTTCCTTTCACCAATAAAAACCACAGGGTGGGCCCTGATAGCAGCGACAGAAAGACAAACACCTTGGTGAGACCATAGTGAAACATCTGTAACACCACTTCTTGCATCACTTATAAGGGGTCACTTCACTGACTGCCTTCACTTTTAGGATGAGGTCTGGACACCCTGCTTGAAAATCCTGAAGAGGACTGTTGCAAGTATACTGTTCGACCGACTGATCATGTTTGCTGTGGTGCTCAGTATCCTCGCCTTGGCTATAGAGCACCATGAGGAGGTGAGGAGTTCATTATTGTAGTGTGCTTACTATCTGTCTATTCTGGGCTTCTATAAATGTCAGATGGGTAAGATGAATGATAGCAGCGAGGGATACATATTTCAGATGTACAGCACATATTAAAGAAACTGCATTTATATTTGGAAGACGAGGAAGGCACTAATATTATCCTTACTTTCCAACAGCCTAAGAAGTTAACACATATGTTAGGCATCAGTAACATCATCTTCACCACCATTTTTCTTGTGGAGATGATCATAAAGCTGCTGGCTCTCAAGTTTGAGTACTTCAAGGATCGAAACAACGTCTTTGACTTTTCCCTTGTCATCATCAGGTAACATGAATCCAATTCTTTTGAATGTGATAATGTGGAACACGGGGAGGGAGCGGTTTTATCCATTAAAGACACCAATGTCATTCACACTTGATTCGTGAAAAACTGACACTTTCTTTACTCCTGTGTTATCCAGCTATTTTAGATTTAGAAGTCTTAAGCCCGGCATGCACTATGCGATAGTAGAAAAGGTGTAGTTGCCAGGGCGAGTCAGTTTTCCTGCAGGCACAATCAGATATGAAAGTAGCTATGTTTGGGAAAAGGCTTGTGGTTCAGCTCTCACTGTGTGATTTTGTGCAATTGTACAACCAAAACATCAAACATGCAAGAAAATCTTCCCATCAGTCGGAAGCAGCTGATCGAGTTATAATTGATGGGCGTGACTCAGTGTACACTGTATGACTGACGCCGGGCGATTGGACTGAAATTCGGCCCTTACTCAAAAATCTGTTCTAAATCGTGTTGTCATTTTATTCAGCGAAAACTCAAAACATTTTATTCCACTTTAGTCAATAATGATGTCAATAAAAATGAAGTACACTTTAGATTGTTTTAGTTAGAAATCAGGGAGAGAAAGAGTGGGGAATGACATGCAGAAAAGGAGCCAAAGGTCAGATTTGAACCCGGGCTGCCCGCTTTGAGGACTGTAGACTCTGGTCATGGGACGAGTGTGGGCCACCGGCGTGTAGTGGGGAACTATCAGTGTGTTATTAGTACTTTAACTACTTCCCCTGGGAGACATTTTAGCACAGAAGAGCTACAGATTCAACCTATCACACAGCTTGTTATACATCTTAATAAAGGGAAGCCTAAGCCTCTTCAGTTTGATGTAGAAAAAATAAAAATGTTTTTGGGGTGTTGTATAATGCACGACAAAACGACTTATCAGGCAAATGTATTTCCCTTTTTTTCAGTTTGTGGGAGGTCATTGGTAAAGCTCAAGGCAAGCTATCAGTTCTTCGGTCTTTGCGTCTGCTGCGGTTTGTCAGGCTCCTTCACTTCCTGCCTTACCTGAAGAGACAGCTGCTAGTGCTGAAGAAGACGATTGAAAGGGCAGCAGGGCTCTGCATTCTTCTGCTGTTTTTCATCTTCATGTTTAGGCATGTACACACCAAAACGAACCCAAATCCCTCCTCCATGTTAGTCTGTTTGAAGACAGTAAACTCCAAATGCTGTTCTACATCAACGATTAACAATAATGAGCTGTGTCTGGTTAAATGATTCTGACAGTCCTTGTTTCTCTGCAGTATACTGGGTATGCTCCTGTTTGGTGGTAAATTTAAGTTCATGACAAAGCATGGAGAAATCATCACCGACAGGAAAAACTTTGATGACCTTTATTGGTCCATGGTTACCGTGTTTCAGGTCGGTTCCTTCATTGTATTCTTTCAGCATGCCGATTGTGCCTCAATGTATTTCTCTAACACTTCTATCAATGCAGATTTTGACTCAGGAGGACTGGAATCTGGTGCTCTACAATGCCATGGCGACTACATCCACATGGGCCACACTCTACTTTGTTGCACTCATTATGACGGGAAAGCACGTTCTGCTTAATGTCCTTGTGGGCATCGTGGTTCAGAGCTTCCAGGAAATGTGCAATCCAAGCAGCGAATCCCCCGAGAATGACTCCCCACAGACAGATTACGATGAAGAAAGTGTAAGTTTGTCAAGGTGCTGAATCTGCTCAGCCAACGCCACTGTCCGACATTAAACTCTGTTTACTGTTGTTCCAGGGCTCGACAAGCTCCGGCTCTGGCTCTGGGCCCAGTAAACTCACTGGGATTACCCCTGCCCCTGGAGAAGACTTTCTCACAAAGGACAATGTAAGATCCAAAAAATGCTACGTTTTAAAGTCAGGATTGGGGCTAAACTGAGAGTCAATCCTGGATTTGACTTAACAAAGCTATACACAGAACAATGCAGCAGACAATCATACACATTATTTACTTTGCTCTTATTCTCAGAAATATGTTGCTGCTTTACTCATAATGTTCAGTGTTGCTGTCTTTTTCATACTTTGGAATAAATGAGGGAACTTTTGTGTAACTATCCATCCCCGCAGAGATATCCAACCTTGATCCAGAAAGTCCTCTGTTGGTGCAAAGAGCATGAGGACTGGTCATTCTATGTGTTTTCTTCAAAGAACAGGCATGTCTAAACCCACGTGAAGAACGATTTTCACTATTCTCTAAAAACTCTGGTTTCAGGGCTGCGGATGTTTCATGATTTACACGTTAATGAAAGATGGAAGCGTGAGTTCATGTTGCAAAAAAAAAAAAGCAAAATAACAGTTCAAGCAATCATAGTTTTGGTTTAGAGCCATTTAAACTGGATCATATGAGAGTGGTCTCCAGTAAAAGAAAAAGAAAATAGAAATACGGCTTCTTGTAGTTTCGGAAATTGTCCTCTAATGTTCAAGTGACGATGACTTGTTTGTTTTTTAGGTTCCGTAAGATTTTCCAGCGTGTTATCTCTCACAGCTTGTTTGACCACGTGATCCTGATCTTCATTCTTCTAAGCTGTGTCACCATTGCTATGGATAGGCCTGGAATAGACCCTAAAAGCACGGTGAGACACACGACTGGATATATAACCTACAATTACCTGTGCCCAAGTGGAGAGTAAACCTTTAGGCATACAGTCAATCTCTGAAGAGTTTTCATGTCACACCCTTTCATGGTAATGCTTATCTAGCATGTCCTCTTCCACACGGCATCCTCATAGTTATGAATTGTGAGGCTATTACAGCGACACCACACACTGACATGTAAAGAGGAATTTCCCCATGGTTACAATGAAGTCTAAAGTCTAAAGTCATGCACACATGTACACTGTGTAACGCTAGATGACGTGTATTTCATGAAATGCATACTATGTACTATGTAATGAGTATGATTAAGTAATACAAAATGTATGCAGGCTGAAAATGTTTTTTTTCATCTCTGACCTTTAGGAGCGATTGATCCTCAATGTGTCCCTCTACGTCTTCTCTGGTGTGTTCCTGGTTGAGATGCTTTTCAAGGTTAGCAACTTTTTTCTTTTCTTTTTTTACTGTAGAGGCATATGGTTAATATGAAATGAAATTAGTATGAACATCATCCCCCCCCCCCCGAAATCTAAATAGCCACACCATATGCCACCCCGGAATCCTTACCTATGATTAACTATTTGCCTTGGCAGAGGTGGGACTTATTTTGAAATCCACTATCCAGGCCATACAGGTAGCTCATAGTTTTCAGTGTGCAGATGTTTGTTTGCAGTTTTTTTAAATACTTTCAGTGCCTTGCTCAAGGGCACCTCGACAATGCTCAGGAAGTGATCTGGCACCTCTCCAGCTACCAGACCAACTTCGAGATTTGGTCCGCACCAGGACTTGAACCAGTCCCTACAGTGCCTACAGACTGAGCTACTGCCTTTACCATTTTTTAACACCAATATGTGTCCCTGGCCTGTGGACAAACCCCCAAAATTATGAGAAAAGTCCATTGTCTCCATACTTTCAGAAAACACGTGTTTGGAGATTTACTCTTTGTGTAATCACAAAGGGCAGTGACCCCTCCCCAGGGTGACCTCTGAATCCACCATCTCACTGTTAACAATCGGGCATGGGGCAAGAAAGCCAGAGCCACCCAAGCCCTTCCAGAAAGGGGCGTGGTCGAACCCGGCTCACTTAACTTTAAAGCTACAGACACAGAAACAGCCTGTTCTGAAATAGAGGGGTTTATAGACATGCAAAAAAAAAGGGTCAGAGTGCATTTTTAACAAGCAACTTCACAGACATGTTTTGAGGAGTTCTGAGACTTAATTTAACTGGTTAAAAAGGAATATAATATGTGACCTATAAAGTCAATGTGATTGGTGCAGACAGATGGGGTAAATAAACATTTACATATAATTATGAAACTTTATCGTTTTAGGCAATTTCTATATAATCAATTCGTGTTGCTCAGATTTTTCCGCTGCTATCTGGAGTGTTTGAAGAATAACCTTGTTTGATATGATTTGATATTTTTGTTGCTGTATCACCAGGTTCTGGCTCTGGGTGTGTTCTTTGGGAAGGACTGCTACTGTCGGTCTACGTGGAACATCATGGATGGTTTGTTGGTGATTTTGTCTTATGTCGACATCTTTGTGTCTCTGGCCAACACGGGGAACACCCACATGTTTAGCATCCTCAAGGTTTTCCGCTTGCTCCGCACACTTCGTCCACTGAGGTACATTCTTTACCATTTTTACTTCTCATATTCTTCCTAAGTGTGTGTCTGTAGGTACACGTGCTGGTGCTGATAAACATTTGAGTTGGTGTTTGTGTTTTCCAGGGTGATCAAGCGAGCTCCCAAACTAAAGCTGGCTGTGGAAGCTCTGATCGCCTCGGTTAAACCCATCGGGAACATCGTTCTCATTTGCTGTGCCTCCTTCTTTTTCTTCGGTATCCTCGGAGTGCAGGTAACACAAACTCACATGGCTCTGTGGCCAGTTGTTACTTCAGAACTTCTGTTTCGAGTTCAGTACAGTGAACAAATAACACTTCAGACTTTCTATCTTCCTTCTAAAAAAAACACTTCAGTTGTTCAAAGGGAAGTTCTTCTCCTGCTGGGGTGAGGACATAAGAAACATCACCACTAAGAGTGAATGTCTGGAGGCCGGCTATTACTGGACACGAAAGAGGTTTAACTTTGACAACTTGCCTCAGGTACAGAACGACAGATTCATCATTTCACTGTCCTTTGAAAATATCAAATTATATTTCGGGGTATTGAATCTTAATAGATCTTGTTGAGAAGAAGAAAATGTCTTTTGTTGACTTAACATTGTTTTCATTTTTCCCTTCAGGCTCTGATGTCCTTGTTTGTCATGTACTCTAAGGACGGCTGGGTGAACATCATGTATGATGGACTGGATGCTGTGGGAGTAAACCAACAGGTATTTTTTTTTTGCCTTCAGCTTGTCTGACTTCAGACTGCTTTAACTTGATGCTAATTTCTTAACATCTGAGGGAAGTTTCATTGTTTGTTTGAGGTGCAGATCATATTTAAACTACTTCCTGCTTGGAACTGTTGGTAAAATAGAGCCAAAGATTAAAACTATTAAGTGCATTTGAAGATGGTTAGAGCAAATGTTAAGGTGATCTGTGAGCAAAGGAGCTATAAACTTACAACCACTGCATGATATGTCTTCTAAAAGCTCCATCTTTGTTTAAACACAACTCCTCATATATCACCTGCCTTTTCCACAGCTGCACTCCCACACAAGTCACATGTAGGTCTTTTGTTTAAATTAGCTGCCTGCGTTGGTTTAACTGTAAAATTCCCACAGACAATCAAGCTAGGAATGACCAAGATCATTTTTCCAGAAGACGTTTAAATCAAGTGTGAGGTGAATGAAAACAAAATCCACAGAGATAGTGAAAGCATTTCTCTCATTGTACAGAGAAAGATACGGAAAGCCCGTCGATTTGCACTCTGAAGACAGCAGTGTAATAAATCTGTTATTTTGTTTCTCACACAAAAGGAACTAGCGTCTTACGTCGCTTCCCTTTTTCTTTCAGCCTGTGAGGAACAGTAACGAATGGATGCTTCTGTTTTTCATCGCCTTCATGATCATGAGCTTCTTCCTCCTTGACATGTTTATCGGTGTGATGGTCGAGACTTTCCACCACTGTCAGCAGAAGCAAAGAAATGAGTTGTTGAAACAGGGAGCAGTAGAAGACCGATGCATGGGTAAGAAAGCTTAGTGGTAGCTCTCTGGGGGGGGGGGGGGGGATGTTACTTGAAGAGGGTAATTAGCGACATTGTTAATTGCAATGAGTGTGAAGCAGCCTCACTCTAATTCATCTTCATGGGTCATGTGGGTAAATCGGGCCTATGTGTTTCTCAATAAGAGAATTTAAACCAGAATTTCCCTCAGGGATTAAGAAAAAATATATATTACATAAACGGCTGTCAGCACCCACCTCAAGTAGAATCTCATTCTACAAGGAATACAATGGTACAATGAACAAGCAACCGGCAAAATTAGCTCCTCTAGTGCCACCTTTGTACCCAAATCTGGTCACTTTTGGAGTGGAAAAAATGGACAACCAAAATCCGAAAAAAAGGCAGCTGACAAGCTAGTTGGCTGTATGATAGTGGTTACTTCCAGTATTTATACTTTGTAGGCAGATGACAGGAAGTACAAAGCACCCTTGCTGAATATGAACCTGGGTCGCTGCGATAAGAAGTCAGCTGAATGGTACAGCTCTACATTTGAACTGCTAGAACAGTCTTGTTTATTTAACCTTGTGATACATGTATATTTTTGTGTTTGGCAACCTGTGCTGCAAATGATGATACACGTCACTTGTGACAACATACTGTACATTCAGGCTTGCTCATATTGTTGGAAAATGGCTAAACTTGTGTTTCTGCCAAGCAGCAACCTCTTGAGTGCCCACTTGAGGCTGGCTGCAATTGCCAAGGAATCCCCATTAGGCCCCATGTTAAAATGTCAATTTTTACACCGGCAATTAACATGTTTACAGCCTGGATCAAAAATCAAAATAGGTTGTTATAGCTCATTTCCTTATTGGCTCACACAGGGGGTAAATTGTGCTAATACTTGTCTGTTTGGATTTTTACAAAGCCAGAGTTATTCAGATATTTGCACAATTAGTGGCATTGCTGAGCTTACTATGTGGATGCATTGCAGCAGTTTCATCGCCTCATCGCCACATCTTTCCCTTTTTTTCTTTCCAATTGATCATAAGTATGGTTGGGACAGCATTTATTGCAGCATATTATTCATTTACAGCAATATTGTGACCGCCATCGTTTGGCTTCAAAATACCTTTTCCAAAACCAATAGGTGACATCACTGAGAAGATGTTTGTGTTTTATACACTCTTTGGTTAGTTATGTGAGTGAAAAGATACTCACATCAAAAGACGCCTGGCTAACACCCCCCCCCCATCATCATCTGCTTGTATGTGTGTTTGACGTTTCAGAACCTGAGAAGATTCCATATTACAGCAACTACTGTAAACTGCGTCGGTCCATCCACACTCTGTGTACCAGCCGCATCCTGGACCTGTTTGTGACCTTCATCATATTCTTATGTGTCATGGTGATGGGTGTCGAACACTATAATCAACCTTGGGTAATTTTATCTCTCACACACACACACACACACACACACACACACACACACACACACACACACACACACACACACACACACACACACACAGTTTTCCAATCTAAAAACAAGAAAAGTGTGAATTGAACAATTGACTGAAGTCATAAACAAACCTGTGTCTGTGTTTTCAGTACATAAGTGCATTCTCAGAGTACTCCTTCTATGTGTTCACCACCATCTTTATCGCCGAGGTCCTGCTGAAGCTCGTTGCATTTGGTGCTCTGAGGTTCATGAAAGACAAGTAAGATGCTCAATTACTGAAATGATGTGCACGTTGGATATTGTTCCTTCCTAAAGTGTAACCCTGTTGCATGTTTCTGTTCAGATGGAATCTGATAGATGTCGGGATAGTCTTTATTTCCATCATAAGCATCCTTTTCAACCAGATGAAAATGTCAACAAATTTTCCAATCAATCCCAACATCTTGAGGATCTGCAGGGTGCTCAGACTGGCGCAAGGTATACTCACTTTAAAGCCTTCCCATGAGATAGATAGCAGAGTGATATTTAATTCACAAAAGGGCATAAGGGATAATATGCAGGAAGGATTTCCTTTGTATTCCTCACGTTCCTGTTGTCCACACTTCCTTGTCATGAATATATATATCTGTGTGCATGTTATTCATACTGTATCTACTGCTGTGTCTCTTTAGTGCTGAAGGCAAAAAAGATAAGAGTTCTGCTGAAAACAATCATGAAGACTCTGTCACAGGTAAACACACACACACACACACACACACACACACACACACACACACACACACACACACACAGTTAGATTTTTTAAGGTGTATTTTTAGTCTCAGCCTGCTTTTTCTAATCATTTCTCTTTTAAAAACATGAACTGTCGTCAGGTCAGTGTGCAAAAACTAGCCAATGACAGATATACTACAGGATCAAAGAGCATGCTAATAACAGTGACAAATTAAAAACCCTTAGCTAAAATGTCTCTAACTACTGCCTGTCTAAAATTAAAAAAATCCTAATGGTGAGGTACATAAGGTCCATGGTCTCTGATTGAGGATTCACAGGATCTACATTGTAGTGTTTTTATTCAGGAAATCTAACCTGCATTTGAATTTCCAGGTTGGAAACATCTGTCTGCTCTTCAGCTTTTTTTTTTTCATCTATGCTGCACTAGGAGTGGAGCTGTTTGGACAGCTGAGTAAGTCACACGTTTACACACCAGCTTACTGCAAAGGGAATTGAAATACTCTGCTTAAACACTTTTAAAAGAACACTGAATCATCACAGTGATTTTAATGGATTAGTGTAGTACTTACTCTCTGCTAAGTAAATTGTAACATTTGAACTACTACCATTGCCATGAACCGCCCCCTCCTGTCTGAACATTTCATTTTGGGATATGAATCATGTGCTAACTCAAACACCTCTCTGAAGAATGTCTTAATCCTTTTGTGCTCAACAGAATGCAGCGACGATTTTCCGTGCCTGGGTCTGAACGAACACACCAACTTTAAGAATTTCGGCAGAGCCCTCCTCACACTCTACCAGGTGTGCACAGGCGACAATTGGAGCGGGTTCCTCAAGGTAGGCACCCAGCTATATCCATCCCATAACCAAATATGTCAAGACCAGGCAGGTTGAGACAGAGAGACATGTTGAGACATTGTCTGCCCTCTATCATATGGTGTCAGATTATTTATGACATGATGCTGATAAAACCTGGATGGAGGGGCCCCCGCTGGGAAAGTAGTGTAGTGGTGCCTTAAGAAGTGGCTCCCCCAAATGTTTTTTTGTTTCTTTAAGTGACCCATCCAGTAGAGGATAAACAGCCTCTGTTATGAACAAATCCATGTAGTCCCTGTGCCTGACCCCTGACTCTTGCTCGGTGTTTTTTTTTTTTTTCAGGACACGTTGAGGGAATGTCCTGTCGATGTCAATGCCTGTCCAAGCTACCTGTCGTGGGTCGCCCCGGTATACTTCATCAGCTTCGTCATCATGGCCCAGTTCGTGCTGGTTAACCTGGTGGTGGCGTCCATTATGATGGCACTGGAGGAAAGCAACCAGGTACACACCAAGATAAACACAAACTTAAAGCCATTCTTTGATAAGAAGTAAGGACACTCTCAATCCCCTTACTTTGATCACGGTGGAGGAATTGTTTGTCCCTGCCTTAAAAACAGAGTAAAGAGCTTAAACATCAGAGTGGGCCTGCAGTAGCGCCAATGTCAGCGGTCCTTGGCCCCTCATTTAAATTTGAAATTTTAGAATGGCATAGAAGTGTAACAGAATAATATTTTGGCCTTTCAGAGAAATCCTATTAACTTCTGTCTCCCCCTGGAGGAGGAAAATAACCAGGACACCGAGCTGGAGTTGACTTCTACAGGGGAGAGGGGTACAACAGGTCCAGCCGCGCCATCGCAGACGAGTCCGGCAAGAGATGAACAGTTAGAGGAGCTACGTGAATATAAAGTCTCGTTAGTTTGAAGAAGAGCATTACACAGTACAGTGAAAGAGACTGACACTCAAAGAGGCAGTGGCAATCTGCAGCTCAGTTGCAGCTCAGCAACAACCTGGACCTAAAACTTGTGAAGCCCAGTTTGTGCTTTTCAGTGCTTTCTTTTTATTTTGTCCCTATTGACCCGCTGTCTTTCAGTGTCTCAAGTTTCAAAACCAGTCTTGTTCAGGAGGCTGGTCCAGTGTTCAGACCTTAAAATCATTTTCCTTTGATTCTCTCAATTTGTTGAATTTCTGTCCAAGTATGACTTGTGTTTTCTGCCGTGCTCTCTCAATGTCTATTTTAAGTTTTTAATTTGATTTTTTTTACTTTTATTAATTAATTATTTTAATTGTTTATTAATCAACTTTTTATATGCTGCTCTACCTGCAGGCACATGTGCACTATAATCTGTAAATAAAAACTGCCTCTGCTTCCTTAATCTCATTTCTTCTTTTTTTTGTATATTTAAAAGTCTTTCCTCACGGGTTTACATTATTTTTTGTGTCCCACTTTGGACTTCTGCATCGCCCTCTGTGCAGGTATATCTCACCTTTACACTGCAATTAGTGCTGCAAGTGCTGCTGCTGCTCAACACTGTTTTCAGGACCACTTAAAACCAATCCTGGCCTTCCTGCATTGGCCTCCTGTTCACGCCACATTCGGCTGAAAATAAATCCAAAAAACCTGCTAGAGAAGTAAAAAAGAAATGTAATATGCCTCACTTTTTTTGTAATTGAAATGAGCAGGGCAGCAGCATGAAAATATTTGTTTTGTTTCCTGCAAAGTTGTTTAAATGTGTTATTATCCTATTATAATTAAAGGCAGATTACATACACATACATGTTGACTGTGTGACCGTTATGGTTTTCCCTCACGAGGCTCCTTTCAGAGGAAAGCACCTGCTTGCAGTGACTAAGTGAATCCTCTAGAGGGCAGTATCTGACTGCAGCCTTACATTTTTCCAACCTGGTCCCAGAGATGTAATCATACACTGAAGGTTTTTATGATTCAGTTTGTACGCTTGGTGATTTGCACAGGATTCCCTCCCAGAACTATGTGACTGAATACTTTATTGTGAAAATGGAGGAGAACTAATCCAAACTGTTAACTCATAATGTTATGAATTGAATATCATTCCCTCAAACTGAACTTATCAACATTGTTTTTTCCCCCCAGATTATCTTTTTATCTGTTATATCATGTCATTCTTACTTCTCAACTAATAAACGTTATCTTATTTTTCATATCCATACATTCATACTCTTACAAATTACATCCAGATAAATTCCCCTTTCTATTCAAATCTATAACTTCATCACACCAGTATTTCCTTCTTGGCTTATACATTCTTGAGTAAAGTTGTATTGATTTTTTTCCCCTGCACAAAGCCTTTGCATGAGCAGGCGCACACTCTTGTACTTGTGTAAACTTTTACTCACCCCTGATTGGCCGAATCACAACCACAGAGGGTGGGGAAAAGTCGTGGTTCATTAGCATACCTATCAAGGCTAATAAATTTGCCAGCAGCCGCACCTGATGCTCCGAACAGCATCAGACACACAAAGAGCAGGAGCAGAGGGGTTTCATCTGAAGTGCATGGCACGAAGGTTACACGAGGGGGAAGTTAAACTCAGGTTCGGAGACGCAACTTCAGCCGAGTTGACTCACCTTTCTAAGAGACGCACTCAGATCCGGTCACCGTCCACCTTCTGTGCGTAAAAGCGCACAGCCGAGACAGAACTTTACGCGCTCCAAGGAGACCTTCCTCCAGCCCTCCGCGCTCGCTGGCTCTCAGAGACTTTCCCCGTCAGCCGGTTCATGACTTTCACAACCGGTTCTGCTGAGTAGTGGCCGATCCGATCCAGAGCTCCGGGTCCCCCATGAGGCTAGAGGCCGCAGCCAGGATGGATCTGATCAGGAAGCTGTGGAGGGCGAGGAAGCTGATCCTTGTAGTGTTCATCCCTCTGTCCCTGCTTCCCCTACCGCTCATCCACCCCACCAGCGTGAGTACAAGAACATAACACCATTCTTTTTTAGACAAAGAAATGGAACAGAAAATTGACCTTTGGTAGAAAGTCATATTTTGGAAAAAGAGCACAGGAAAGGAAGCAAAGGAAGATCCTTAAATGAAATAATAAAGTTAAAGTAACCTAAAGATGGATTTTCAGACTTTGTATAGAAAATCAAGTCATTAAAGTCACCAACATTTCCGTATTGTGTAACATAGATTTAAATGAACATGCAATGTCATGATTTAGGATATTTAAGTATCATTTGTAAGATAAAACCACAATAAGTTGCTTCTTGATTAGCACTAAGTTGTGTGTGTGTGTGTGTGTGTGTGTGTGTGTGTGTGTGTGTTACCTGTGACAGAGTCTTCATGATTGTTTTCAGCAGAACTCTTATCTTTTTTGCCTTCAGCAAAGGCAAAAAAAGTGTGTGTGTGTGTGTGTGTGTGTGTGTGTGTGTGTGTGTGTGTGTGTGTGTGTGTGTGTGTGTGAGAGAGAGAGAGGGAATCAATCAAAAGGCACACTGTCCTCTTTTCTGATGAGTGCTTGTCCCGGTCATCAGCTGAGATGTGTGTGTGGAGAGGAGATATCGTGACATGTTGATGAGATGGAGATCAGTAAGAGACAGAAAGAGTGAACAACATGACACTCATAGGCTTACCACACTAAAAAGAACAAAATCTGTCTCATATTGCCGGCTCGGCTTGTTTCAAGTCTCAAATGTGAAAGAACATGGGAAACAACATCACACTCTGAATAAATCTGTTCAGAAGTTGTTGCTCAGAGTTTTTAAAGGTTTTATTCTTGTTGCCTTTATTTTTGACATGAATCATCTATTTGACTCCTGTTTCAATGTCTTAATGCAGTGTTTTAGGTGTGTTTGTCTCAGACTTTCTGTTTCAGAGGTTGTGTTTGGGGTTTTAGAATTAAGTCAGGATCATGTTTCATGAGGCTCACACCTGTGAGATTTGTCTGGTTTAATGTCAGGAATGAGCATAAACTCTCTCAAGAAGTGACATCCTGTGGAAAGCGTGTGCTGCTGTGTCATATCTTGAGAAAAGCTTGACTGGAATTAGGCTCAAGTATGAGGATGAGCAGTATCAGTCTTATAATACCATTAATTCAGAGTCACAGCACTTAATGTTTGATTTTCTGAAAAACAAAAACTTCTCAGATCTTTGAAAAACTCAGAAGGATGTTCACAATGCAGCTGTCCTCAAAGCCTTTCTAGAGTCTGATCCAGCACTGCCACAGTGTTAAATAGCCTGCTGGTAGCTTTGGCAATGCACTTCCAAAACCACATAAAAAAAATAAAAAAACTTCCTTGTGTTTGTCCTCTGGCAACACACTGAACCACCAACTCCAACTGCTACACCACCAGCGTGTGAATGGAGTACTAATGATGTAAAAGCACGAAGACTAGAAATGTTTTTTGCGGCAGATTCAACCTGAGAAAGGGTTAAAAAACTGGTGTGTTAGAAAACACCTGCAGAGCAGTAGTAAGTGCTCTTAATGCGTTGACATTCTGCAGCTAGTTGATTCTCAATCAAAAGTCATCATTTGAGTAAAATTGTAATGAAGTACAAGTTGAGTAAAATCCAGAGTTTTTTGTAGTAATTAAAGGTGACGTAGCTCAACTTCATTTATATTTTTTGGCTGTTCACATGTTTTTTGGGGGTATTTAGACATTTTAGTTTGCTACATTAAATGAACATCTATATCCTTTTACTCATCTTTTAAGATCTCCAGCTGTGAAGCTGTCCTATGCCTATGAAGGCATGTTAGTCAACACTCCTTAAAAATAACAACATTTTATGTATCATATATTTTTATTTATATAATGTTTATTTGCCACAAACTAGAACATTTAAGGCCACAGTGTATAGGGACTTGGATTGGGAATGTAAGCTCAGGGAATTAAACAGTAAAAGGTGAGCTGTTGTTTTGGTATTCTAATAAATACATGTGCAGTCACATGTTCACCGACACATTATGAATATGAACGTTCAGCCATGTTTTTTTTTCCTCCAAACACTTTGCTTTACAACCACATCTCAGACAACAGCAGTACAGGTTGTGACAGGTGTTTGTGTTTATGTGTTATGAATGAGGTCCTCTGTCCCATAGCTGTGTGTGTTTTTCATTAATATTCAAATCGTCTGTTATGTGAGCCCTCAGCCACCAATCACATCGTGGCCCAGGAGCCTTGCTGTTATGTCAGGGCCGGCGGGTGTTTGGCTGGAGTAGGCGGCGCAGGATGAGGCCAAGAAAGAACAAAAGTACCAAAACTTCACAACAGAGAAAAAGAAAGAAACAATCCAGGCAATTAAGTTATGTAATCAACCAGCCAGCACGCTGGATTTTAGCACACATGCAGCTTCCTTACGACACCAGGGACCCCAGACTGAGTCTAGAATGTGGTGGGTTCAAAGTGTGTGTGTGTGTGTGTGTGTGTGTGTGTGTGTGTTTGGAGTGGTACTGTGTCCAGCTGCAGAAAGACAGAACATCTGTTGGATGCGGTCATGCCGGGTCAGAAAGAGCGGGAGAGTGACCTGTAAAAAATTCAAGGGCCAATAACAGAAATGCTGAGTGCTCATTAATGTGTCATGAATGATTGTGCCATTTTGCATCCCTTTAAATTACAAGTTGTCTGTTCTACTATGTAACATGATGCCCTGAATATCAAATATTTTCACAAACACAGGTAGTGGGAATTGTAAGCGATAACTATTGATAGTATGAAGATGGACGATATGTCTCCACATCCTCCTGTTGTACAAAAGTGATGCCAAAACACCCAATGACAGGAGCTTACTTTTTGCACATTTGTAGCCAGAGTCTTGGCATCAGAGACCAGCTGGTGGAGTCGTGAGATTGACATCCCGCCTCTCCATAAACCACATTTAACACAAAGAAAAAACTGTTTGAAGCACACACTCACAGTTAGGGGAAGTTCAATAACTGTTTAGTTCATCTTTGTCACATTTTCTCTCTTTGTTTCTCGTCTTGAAAGAGCCACATTTGTCAACAGAGCTGTCAATCAAATCACTGATCAAAAGTGAACCTCTCAGAAGACTGAACACTCGGGCGTAAGTCAGCATGATAAGAGCTAACTATAAAGACAGAAACCATGTTTGACCAAAAATGTATTTTACCAGTTTTTTGACTTTCCAGTTTGACCCTTGTTCCATCTATTAACCTGGAGGGGGGGGGGGGGGGGCTAGCTGGGTAGCTGTCATGTCATCCATCTTTTTATACATTCTATGGTTACAAGTTATTGACTCTTCCACTTGGATATAAGTTAACTTCTAGCGTTTCATGTCTTACTTAGAGTTTTGAACATGATATTAAACGAATGCAATTGCACATGTAAGTTTTCCTCGCACAAACATAAAGGCCTGGCACAAAGACATGTTTCCAAGATGCTACTTTACTTTCCATTTCTTAGCATATTATAGCTTGCAGTGTGACTCTACTTTTGGCAATGAGGGCATGCAGTCCACCACTTTGGTTGGGATTGAAATTGCACAAGAACAATTGATGGAGTTGCAATAAATGTTGCTCACTTATCCATTAAGGATGGATTAATTACAGTGACTTTGTTGAACGCAGACTTTTCCTGTGGTAGAACTATCAAATGGTACACATTTGTGCTCCCCTCAGGTGGAAGGGGAGACATGTTTCGATTATGGATAAGGCCTCAGGAAACGAATTCAACTCAATGTAAGGTCCTCTGAAATGACTGTGTGCTTGTTTGTGTTATCTCACTGTTTAAAAGTCCATCCCTGTGCTGATTGGTTCATTGAATTCAGCTTATCTTCCCGAATGAGGAGTCTTAAGTCAATGTGTGTTTTCTGAATGCAACCACATTTCCTAAGCTGCACAGATAACAGGGAGTTGAACAGGGCTTCTGTTCAGACATTGGCCTGTCAGCTGTAAAACACTCAGGGTTTGAGGAAATACCCCCTCAGCCGAATAAAGTGTTCACATAATGAAGATAAACTAGATCCTCAAGTTGACAAGAAAATCCTGAAACCACATCTAGGTCCATTGAAGGGGTCACTGAAGAACAGCTACTAGCAGCCCAAATAGTTGATTCAGTATTTTTTTTTTTTGATGCCACCTGGGGAGGCCAATCAGATTTCAAGTCATCCTGGCCGATCCCTGGACCCTCTGCTGCAGCCAAGTCAGAATAACCTGAGCTCATCCAGCTCATTGTGCACACCAGTAAAAAACAATAAGGAGACGCGACTTACACAAATCTTATGGATGCAAACACAAGACCAGTCAGACATTTACGTTTTCATCTTGCACTAAGATGTTTCCACACTCTCTGACAAGCGCACATAAGTTTGTTTAGCCTTTAAACCCTAACCCTTACCTAGTGAAACAGAAAGCAACATTTTTCCAGGTGGCATATATGTATCTAAATTGACAGTTTTGAAGAAAGCTCGCCCCAGAATAAAGCATACAGTACATCTCCACATGCGATGAATGACATAAATCTGTGTGTGACTGACGCTGAACTTTTGTCTGTTTTCACTTTATAAAGAGTCTCGGGTCTGCAGTGCGGCTCTCATATTTCACTGATAGTCGACAGAACTGTAGAAGAACACCAGGCATCATAATAAAACAGTTTTATGTCAAGCCTTCACTTCGGTCCGTGATGACCGATTGTGTGTTTCGCCTTTCTCTGAGGCGAGTCTGTATCAGGGTTTGTTATCATTTAATGAATTGAGGTGATCGAGGCTCTGAATAAATTTGCATATAAAGCAGGAAAGTCATCATTAATATAGCGTTTAAAATAATTACAGTTTATAGTATAGTATAGTTTTATAGTCTCCAGATAAATTCGTCAGAGCATTAATGTGGACAACTGTCATTTTTCACATTACGGTAAAATAAGAATTCATTACAATGTTTTCATAACAGCGCTAAATAGTGTTTTTTTTCTTCAATTTGTGGCTTAAAATTTCATCTCTTTTCTGGGACTT